AATTTAATATAAGACTATTGAATACTTAATTTGGTACTAAAAGTTTATAAGGTCAAAGACTTCGACGAATGGATGCCATTGGAAGAAAATTATTTTTATCACCATGAACAAGCTGTCTTGAGTAGTGAAAATTGGTCTTTTTTGGGCAAAACGACAAATAAATTTGCTCATCTATATAACAAGACGCGGGATACTAATTTCCTCGTTCGTGATAACCCCTTTTTTTTCTCTTTTCCCACCATCGATCTAAGAAAGAATTGAATGAAAAACTGCCCAATTTTTTGATGGTGAGAAAGTAATGTATCTGTAGTTTGCAAAACATCCCTTGCCTAGTTCTAATATAGAAGATTTTTGCAGTTAAAGCTTTGGCTAGTTTTCCTTGAAGCGATCTTGAATCTTGAGTTGAACCTTAGGAGTTCAATCACTAGCTTATTGCTGCAAAAGCTAGCTTGCCAATGTTCGCCGATCTGTTTGATATTTTCCTTGGGGTATGATCAAGGTATTGCCAATTTGGAGCCCCATCATTTTTTTATTATTGGTTTTTTTTATGTAAAGTGAATTATTGAGTCTTGCCTTACACAATAAATTGATTTAAAAAAAAACCTTTTAAATCATAATTTACCAATTCGAAATTGAAAATTTTAAATGAACATTAGAAGCTTTTCATAGTATGATATTAGGCTCAACCATAAATATAATTTTGATTAATTCTAAGGCCAACCAAATTAACCTATTAAGACAAATTACCAAATAATTTTGTTAAATAATTAGAAATTATTAGCATTATTAAAAAATCCTGGTTCTTCTTCTGATGGAAAGAATGTTTTCTATGATAGAATTTAATGTGAACTGAAAAACAATAACCCCCAAAACTACAGATGGTGGCCCATATGCTATGTCAATCAAGGTTGACTATCGGATTCTTGAGGTCGGTTAATCGCCTATCTATCTTCATGCAAATTTCTCGATTTTGACATATTCGTGCAAGTATCGATCTATTTAAGTCTGATTGATAATTGATAAAGTGATGTATTTCGTTCTATTGATATTTTTATTTTTTTATTTCAATGTAAAAAAGTCAAAATAATTGCTTAATTTTTGTGAAGTAGCACCAATATTTCAAAGATATAATTTATTTGCTCTCACTCTTTTACTCTGGATTTGATTTTATTTAAATTTTCTTTTGAAAAGCTATCTTTAATCCAGCCATCAAAATTGATCTTATTCTACAATTAATGAATTTTCACGAACTCAAAACTCAAGTGTTCATACAATAGTTTGATGGTGTTTTTTTTTACTAGTATTTTTTTTTTATTTTCTTTAATGCAATGCATTTTCCTTCTACTCAATGAAAAACAGTCAAATTTTGAAAAAAAAATAAAACCAAAGATTTAAATATAACTTGTTTCTCTTTATAATAATTGTTTTTGTTTATTTAAAGAGAAGAAATATAAAATCAATTTTTTTAAATAAAATAAATTCATTTTATCATTAAATTAAATGTTTAAGTGCATAATTGAATAACATGCTAAATTATTCCAAATTATTCTTTTCATATTTTATGTTTAACTTTGATCACTTTCAATTTTTTGAATTTTTTGACATAAAAATTGATAATTATAGTTAATGATATTAGGATAACTATTAATTGGGTTTACACTTTACACTAACAATAATAATGTGTTGGTTGATTGGCTTTTTGATATTTTTTAGATACCCTTTTTTTTCTAGGAATATTTCATCTAAGGACTAATCTATACAATCAACATAGCAACATTTGAAAAATAAAACATCCACAATTTTTCCACCTTTGTTTGATCTGCTACTTCAAATAGATGAATCATGGAGGATTAGAAAATTAAGGAACCAATCAATTTTGTTTTCCATTTTTAATTACTAATTCATTTGCCTAGTTTTTCATCAAAACCAGTGGCGTAGCCACAGCATGAGTAGTGGGGTCAGTCAACCCCACCGAAATTTTTAAATTTTTAATAATATGTTTATCATATTTGAGTAAATTTTAAATTTCTTTATAATGAATGTATTACTTTAAGGTAAATTTTCAATTGATCTATTGAAAAAGAAAATTAAGAATCAATGTAATAATATAGACAAAATTTAGGGATCAATATATAGTTAATAAAAAATAATATGGAGAAAAAATTATTTATCGGCTTTTTTTTACTATTGAAATTAATGTTGAATTCGTTAGTTGTAAGTACAAGATAAAAAGAAAATTTTTAATAATGAAAATAGTAAAGAATATATTGTGTAAATAAATGAAATCAACTTGGTTTGATGCATGATTTGATGAATGACTGTTCAATTAAATATACTAAAAGAGATGTATTTAATAATAGTTTGAAAATATGGAAACTCATCATAGTAATTGTAACAGCATATCTTTACATCGAATATTTTCTTTTTATTATTTGAATCTTAAGCTTTTTTTGGTATAATGATATTGTTATTATTTTAAGATTGTGTATGAAAGATTGTAAATTTTTACATTTTTGTATTATGAAAGTACTTTTTTTTTGTTATTTTTGTACATATGTCCCATTTTAACATTCATGAAAATTCATAAAAAAAATTGGCATTAGCTCATTTTATACTAAATTTTAAAATTTTTATATAATTGATGTTCCATGATTTTTAATATCAAAAAATTTTAAAAAAATGAAAAACAAATTTTGAAATAAAGAGCAAGGAATTTGAGTCTTAGAAAAATAAGAACATAGCTTTGGAAATTTTAAAAATAAAAAATAATTTGAAAATTTGAAAAAAAAAGTATTAGTATAACTTTGTTGATCTCACTTAGGGGGTATAAACGAATAGAATTTTTAATTAATTATTCATGAATATGTTCGATTTTGTTTGTTTATATTCGTTTATTAAATTTAACAAATAATCTTGAATATTATTTTTAAATTAGTTTATTAAATGAACTGAACACGAATAGAGATCTATTTGGTTCGTTTATATTCGTGAACAAACTTGTTTAAAGTTTGTTTAAAACTCATTCATTTGTTGTTTATTTATTGTTCGTTTATAATAATACTAACAAAATTATATTTTTATCTTTTATCCTAATCTTATTTTAAGATTCGTTGATATTCGTTTGGATTTGTTTATGATTTGTTTGTTTAAATTTATTTATTGTTTATGATTATATTCATTTATATATATATTCATGAATATATTCACTTAATATTCACGAACATGTTTACGAATTGGCTTATTTAACTTAATTGAATAAAATACAAATAAATACGAACGAACATAAATATTTTATTATTTAAATAAATTAAACTTAAATACAAAGTAATTTTTTTACCAAACATAAATCGAGTTTGAATATCTACAAAAATAAATGAATAAACTATAGATATATATTCATTCATTCATATTCAATTTATTTACAGCCCTAATCATACCGAAGAAATCATGATTTCGCCACTGATCAAACCTACGTGAGAAACATTATTTTGATCATTTGATCCCAAATCTAGTTATTTTCTCACAAGAAAATAAAAATAGCTTATTGTTTTATATACCAATAACATTAAGAATTACAAATTTTAGGTTTCAACGATTTTTTTCAAATATGTTTCATGTCTCATTTTAGAGATCACATAATGGAATTAAAAAAAAAAAAAATAGAAGTCATATTTAACACGTTTTAAGAGGGAAAGTAATTTTATTTGATTTAAAAAAAAAAAAGCGCTACGATGTAGATAAACCATATTGTACAAACAATTGACACATTAAGAAGGCTTAAAAAAGACAAGCAACGTGTAGTACCTAGAAACAAAAATCCATAATCATATATTCAAACTTTAATTCCTTTCAAGCACATCGTCTCGTTCATTACATGGTCAAAATGTTGGCATGGTAACAATTTATCAATAAAAATTGGCACGTGCTATATATTTTTAATTTTATTTTTTAAAAAAATTTAAATTAAAAATTCATTTAAAAAAATATTTTTACAATTAAAAATTAAGAAAAATTATAATTTTTTAAAAAATCTATTCTTTCTTGAAATTTAAATGAAAAAAATTTTAAAAAGAAAAGGGAGCAAGGGAGAGCGAGTGCAAGGAAGGGATAGGGGAAGGGCCAAACGACAGTGAATCTCCTGGCTCTCTTTTCCCTTTCCATCCTTGGTTCCATTTTTTTTTTTTTTTAGTTTTAAAATAAAAATATTAAAAAACTGACATGGCATTTTTTAGCCACGTGTCATAATTTATTGGCTAACTTTAGATTACTTCAGCTTGATGATAGCATAATTAGTATGTGAGACAACGTGCTTAAAAAAAGTGAAATTTAAGTACTAATTACGGATTTTATTTTGTATGTATCAAATTAACATATGTGGTATAGCTTAGCATTAAATTACTAATTAATCCTTCAATTTACAACAATTACATCTGATAAAATAAAATTTTAACTCTTTTAGATAAAAATTAAATCTTCTATCAAAATAGTGACATGGTTACTCTTCAAATGCTTTCGAGCAAAATTTTTCTGTTAAAAATTTCATTAATTATGACTATTATGGATGGAATCAAGGATTCTATCGATGAAATATTTTATCAATAAATCTTTTTTGTCTTCGATGATTGATCGATATAAACATCAGCTTAAGCTAATAAAATCCAATCTAAAAAAAAACCGTTGAAGAGGCGACAAAACAACTTTTCGTTACAAAACCAATAAACCGAAAAAGGATGGATTCCCAAGGAGGCCTTGGTTTATTATCCTATCCTGTGGAACCAAAACCAAAACCAAAACCAGCTGCTGCTGGGTGTTATGAAAATCAACTCGGCAAACCGGCTTGATAGAGTTTACTATTTCCTTGCACCTTCCCCTCCCCCCACCAAAAAAAAAAAAAGAAGAGAGAAAAATTACCTATAAATATCTTCTCACCGCACGCCCCCCCATTTAAGCTCCTCTCTCTCTCTCTCTCTCTCTCTCTAAGGTAGCTTTAAACTCTTTGATCTTTGAATATTTTTGTAGTGCCCATGGTAAGGCTGCTATCTATAATTTTGTAACTATTCCAATCTTTTGGGTTTGGTTATTCTGATTGGAGTAACGATTTTCTTTCTTTTTTTCAATCTTTGATATATATATATATATATATATTCAGGTGTTTTTGGTCGATCTGGAATTAATTTGTAGATTTAGATTGTTTTTGGCGGTTATGAAATACTTTTTTAAAAAACTTCTGAAATAACTTTTTTTTTCTGCAATTTTTTACAAAAACTACTCCGAGTAGGCAAAGATATGATTATTGATTTAAAGATCATTTTGTCCTTGCATCATTCATAAAATTTTAGTTGTTTGTGTAGATCTATAAGACGAGAGAAAAATACCCATGTAATCTACAAAATCATCCTGCTTCCGATGAGTTGGGGACAGGTAATGTCGATGGTTTACATCTTGTCGTTGGCAGTGACATGTTGATTGTCAACCAAAGGTCAAAATGGGGATAATCTTATAATTAAGTATGAGTCTAGACTTCTATAGTGCCAACTTGAGTTAGCTCAGGTTGCATGATAGGCTTCCGTACTGTAGGGTAGCCACGGTTCGAGGCGCAATAGATGTGTTGGTGTGGGCCAGACACCCCAATGCACCACAGCTCATGTTATCCGAACACATCGACCGGTGTGATTGAGCAAAAAAGTCACTTGGGTCTTATTTGGATTCAATCGTGTCTATTGTTTGGTGTGATGTAACGTTCTTTTTATGTAAATATATCACTAATTTTAGATAAATAAATAATTTATTAATAGGACGCAAGGATTCGATTCGAATTTCATCTGATTTATAAACATTTTTACTTACAAATAATCAAAGTAAGTTTAGAGGACATGAGAGATTTTAAAGATAGATTAAAAAATAAAAACAAAATAGTTCTAATGTAACAAATTATTTTTGGTATTTAAGAGTTCTTTTGGTTATTTTTTGCAGGCTACTTGCTTTATGCTTTTCATTTTATATATTTAAGAGTGGTTTAGAGGAGGTACGATGGAATCCAGGTTTTTTTTTTTTTATCAATTGCATCGCACTCGGATGTGTAATTGAGTCCGGTGTTTTTTTAATCTTATACTAGAAAGAAAAGGGTAAAGTGGTATATTAAATTTTAAGGTAGTTGATTATTTTATATAGAATAATAGATTGTTTTAGTGTGAAAATAAAATAAAGACATTTTTCAATAATGGTAATCGATTTTCTAATTTTAACCTCGTTAGATTTTATTTACATATATATTTTATTATTAATGTTAATTTTATTGTTATAATATCTAATATCATTTAATTTTATCACCATCATTATTTTTAATTTCATTGTCCAACATCATTTACATCAATTTCATCAAATTAACACATTAAAATTTTATTTGAAAGAACCAATTATATGCGAAGGAATTGCTTGTGTAAATTGGTTAATGGTAGAGTACTGTTTCTACTTAATTTATTTCCAAATTTTAAAGGGAGGGAATTTCAATTTCTTTTTTTTTTTTTTGAGTTTAGAAACATAGAAGAAGATACTAACAGAAAAAGTTTGAGATTTGAAAGGGAGGGAATTTCTTGAATTTTTTTGGAATTTTTTAAATATTCACAAAACGAATTACTCAACAAAAATAAATTCTGAAACAATTTTAAATTATTTCGTTCCATTGAAGGAAAAACAACTGAAAATTCAATCCGAAATACGCGTTAGTTTTTTACCAAAATAGGTTACCAAATGCACTTTTTTTTAGTTGGAGAAGAGAGAATTACCGTATATATTTTTTTTATACGAAAAATTTGAAGTAGATTAATTTTTTAATTTTTTATGTTAAAATAAGATGTGTAATAACTCGTAACCTAAAAATTAAAAATAAATTATTTAATTTTATAAGTCAAAACAATGTGTCATATCTTATAATTTAAAAATAATGACTATATATCATACAATCAAGATAATTTTTATAAAAGGTTATCAACGACTTTTAGATAAAAAAAAGTAATTTTTACCAATTGCGCTAATTTTTTGTTGATAAATTTTGTTCGTTAAAACAAAAATATACATCAATTAGTAAATTAAATGGTCATGATCTAATGTGGCTATAAATCAATTAAGCAAATAAATAAAAAATTTTCCACTAGCCAAAAAAAAAAACCCAAATTCTCCTTAGATATCTATTCAATAGATTTATTTGTTCGTGCTTTATTCTTTGTTTTTTAAATATAAATTTATTAGTAACGGTTTTGAATATTATTTTGCTTGCCCCAAAATCAGGATGCTGAAATTTCTCTTGAGATTGTGGAAGCTGAATTGGCAAGGAAAAAGGCCGAGACAAGACGCATGGCGAGGTGGCTACGCGCGAAGGAGCTCGCAGTTAAATGGAAGAAAAAGGAAATGAAGAGGATTAAGAGAGTGAACAAACTAATGTTTGCAGTAAATAGACGCATGGAAAAAATGGTCGACGATTTTCTGGTTGCGGCTGAAGCAGAGAACAACTATCGTCAGACTATGGGGGAAGTTATGGAAGGCGTGAATAATCTCAATCTTGAAGAAAACAATATTATATCTTCGAACCAAGTTCAATCTTTCTGTAGCAGTGGCAGCGCTGCTAATGGCAACAGCAACTGAGGATGTGGCGGTGGTCACGGTGGTGGACTCCGTAATCATTAGGGTGATATGTTGTAGCTTGTTTCCATTAATCAATAAGAAACTGTGACTGCCTCTGGTGGGGCCAAATAATAATGGTGCAAGCATTCAGGTTAGAGTCTTGGTGATTTGTTGTGTTTTAAGTCAAATTGTAGCTGCTAGCTAGCTGTGTTTGAGGAAAGGAAACTTTGTGTTGAGTTCTAATCCTATAATATTTACATGGAATTTACAGAAAACTTTTGGAGAATAATAGTTATTCAAAAATTGTTATTTAAATCAAAAATAGAAAACTTTTGGAGGTTTTGTAGTGACATTTTCTCAAAATTTTTCTTAAAGTGAGAAACTCCACCAATATCTTTGGAGAATCTTCAAAAAAATGATATATAAATATATATTTTCCAACGCCAGAATTAAATTCAAGTAATAGTAAAAAAATTAGAGTAAATGAAAATCATATACAAACTATTGAAATATGTATTTTTATTTTTATGTTTTATATTCTTTTAAAAGTATTATGATATCAAATAATTAAAAATTTTTTAGAGAACTTAAATATTTTATCAATCAATTATTTTTTATTGGAAAGTTTTGAATTCAAATCTTTATAAAATTAAATGAGATATGCAAACTAACCTTTAAACAAAAACTCAAATAATAAAAAATTTTAAATAAAATATAACACCTATAATTTCTTCTTATATATTCGGATTAGAGCCTCTTTTGTTTAAAAAAAAAATTTAATTCCCTCTTCCCTAAATTAAAATAAGACACTGGTGGCTTTAGTCTATAATCCCTATAATAGTCTCATCGTTCTTACCTATTTTCTTTAGTTAACAGGCCACAATAAAGGCCCATTTGTACTTCTCCAACCCACATGCTCCTCCTAGATTGGCATTTGGGAAAATAGGAGTGAAAGGAATCATGGAAAATGGCACCCATGAATACCAGGAGCATCAGACTCTGTTTTTTAATTTGCATCAAGATTGTGCTTTTTCTTTTGGATTACTCAAATCCCATCAACACCACCAAAGGGAAACACAAAGAAAGAAAGATGAAGTCAGGCCGCGAAGAGAAAGATCCAAAGTCAAGACCCCAACTCGATAATTAACAATTTTGGCCTTGTCTTAGGCCTCCTCTTACTAGAAGAAAATGAGAGGGGTCGCTTTTGCCCCAACAGCTCCGACCCTCTATAAATTCAATGGTTTCGCAGGAGCTCCTTGTATTCTATTCTTCACCTCTCTTTCCTAACACCTTCCTACTCTCAGCAAACCTCTCATGCATTTTTCACTCTTTTCTTCTTATTAGGCTCTCCAATATTTTTTATTCTCAATTCTTTCAAATTCTTTCTCGCTTGGAGACAACTTGAGAAAGAAATTGAAAGAGCTAAGTATCAAATTAAAAGAAAAAAAATAGCAATTGGGAGCATTTCTGATCTTTATCTTTTAGTTTAAGTTTTTTTTTTTTTTTTTTTTTTTTTTTTAAGGTTAATGTGTGATTTAACCCCTAAATTATACTACCTTTTTATGATTTGGTGCTTATATTAAAAAAATCCAAAATTAGGTATTCAAACTTCATGTTCATCAAGCATTTTACTTCACACACTGATTTTGTTGGTGTAAGTTGATGTGACAAAAAATAATCAATGATATCATGACATTGATCAATATTTGTGGTGGTAGCATTTTGAATAATAATATTAATCAATGATGAAAATTATTTGACAAAAATAAAATTTGGATACCTAATCATATAATCATAATTTTTTTTAATCATATATATATATAATATTATATTACAATATATATAAATTTGATAAAATTTATTTACGTGGAAACTCAAATAGTTTTTTTTTTCAACATATAGGAAATTTTTAAAATTTCTCTTTTGTAATAACAGATAAGATATTTTTTAATTTTAATATATTTATCAAAAATATATATTTAAATTTATTGAATTATCCAAAACTTTCAAATTTAAGTAGAAGATGAATTCAATTATTTTTAAATTGTTAGCAATAAAATCTAATTTAAATATATTATTTTTTAAAAATGCATTTCCAAATAATTTAAATATGTATCTTTTTCAATTTAAAATTTTTTAATATAGCGATATATTATCTTTTAAAATAAATTTATTAATAATATAAATATATAGTTTTAAAATTTAAAAATCTCAAATATAGTGATATTGTAAAATAGATTTCTTAATAATTTAAACATATGTCATTTTAAATTTGAAATTTTAAAATATAATTTTTATTTTAGAGATTTTATAATAGTTCTTCATTATTTGATTATTTTTAAATTTAAAAAAGATCAAATATTTCATACATTATAAGGCAATTTATTTGTTAACTATGATCTCAATGTTAATTCTATTTCTATATTTTTTTAGCCTTTATGGTTGCAAAGAAATGGATTTTTAACCTGTGATATGCACAAAATTTTTTATTATATTTTTTAAAATTTTTTATATATGAGATGTATAATTTTTTATAATATGTGCATCTACGTATTAAAAAATTAAAACACTTTTTTTTTTGAAATTTTTATGAAAACTTTAAATATTTTATTTGTTTTAGAGTGTAAGCATAGATTTTATAAAAATTCTTTGACAATTTATTGATGTTGTAGCAGAGGAAGAAGATCGGTTTAGCACAATACCGAGTCTTTGAAGTATTTTGACAATTGAAAGTAAAAATTATTGATTTAATTATTTAGGCATTAGTTTGTTAATTTTATTTATTTATATAAAAAATTGTATAAGATTACTTTTAATTGTTGATTTTGTTGTGCTTTTTTTCAGTTTTTTAATTTATGAATAAAGTCAAATGATTAAAATGCAGTGCTAATTCTAAAATTGTTATTTTATATAAAAATAAATTGATATTTATTTATTTGAAATTAATTTTTTATAATTTAATTCTTTTACAGTATTATTTTTAAGCGAAATATAAGTAATAAAAGTAAAATGCAAATTTTTTTATTTTTAAATTCGATTACAAAATCCTATGATCGAAAAATGACACTTTCTCATTAAAATTTTTTTACAAAAAATTTTTAAAATAATTATTAAAAATTTAATATTATTACTTAAATTTAAAATTATTTTATTTTAACTTTTATATAATTTTGCATCAAATGTAAAATTTAAAAGAAGTATAAAAATTAAATATCAAGCCAGTTGGTCGAGTACTCGAGTACCTAAGTAGAAAAGAGCAATTCTTACCAATTGCATTACTTTCTTGTTGATAAATTTTATTGATTGAAATCAAAATATACATCAATTAATGAATCAAATTATCATGATCTAATGCCGTCTTAACTTTGGCTATAAATCAATTAAGCAAATAAATCCAAATTTCTCAACTAGCCAAAAAAACTCAAATTTCTCGTTAGATATCTATTCAATAGATTTATTTGTTCGTGTTTTTTTCTTTGTTTTTTAAATATAAATTTAGCAGTTATGGTTTGGAATATTATTTTGCTTGCCCCAATCAGGATGCTGAAATTTTTCTTGAGATTGTGGAAGTTGAATTGGCAAGGAAAAAGGCCCAGACAAGACGCATGGCGAGGTGGCTACAGGCGAAGGAACTCGCAGTTAAATGGAAGAAAAAAAAATGAAGAGGATTAAGAGAGTGAACAAGCTAATGTTTTCAGCGAATAGAGGCATGGAAAAAATGGTCGACGATTTTCTGGTTGCGGCTGAAGCAGAGAACAATTATCTGCAGACTATGGGTGAAGTTTTGGAAGGAATGAATAATCTCAATCTTGAAGAAAACAATATTATTTCTGCGAACCAAGTTCAATCTTTCTGTAGCAGTGGCAGCGCTGCTAATGGCGACAGCAACTGAGGATATGGCGGTGGTCACGTTGGTAGATGTCATAATCATTAGGGTGATGTGTTGTAACTTGTTACCATTAATCAATAAGAAACCGTCACTGCCTCTTATGGCAGCAAATAGTAATGGTACAAGTATTCAGGTTAGAGTCTCAGTAATTTGATGTCTTTGAGTCAAATGATAGCTGATGGTGTCACGAGTGGATAAGGAAACTTTTAGGTTCACGTGATTTCAAAATTTAAATATATATATTTATTTAATATTTTAGATCAATTTAATTATTATAATTTATATTATTATGATATATTATTTTTATAAAAAATGATTAAAAAAAACATATAAATTTTTATATCTTGAGATTAATGTTAGTACACAATGATAACATATCGCTTTTATCTTAAGAATTAGCTTTGATATCAGGATACACTATCATTAGACGTACCAAATTAGGTTAATTATCATAATTTATATTTTTACAAAGTATTATTTATTTTAATTTTTTTTTCATAATTTTATCTCATAAAAAAATTTTTATAATAAAAAATAATATAAATAATATATTTCAAGATCGATTTTAATAAATAACTTATATAAAATTTATAATTTTTTTAAGATCATGACACTAGCGGCTAGCTAGCAATGTTTGTGGAAAATAAACTTTTTTGTTAGTTCTATTCTTATAATATTTACATGGAATTTATAGAAAACTTCTGGAGAATAATAGCTATTCTAAATTCCTCAAAAATAGAAGTCACAGAGCTTTCAACTTCTTTTTCTATATCCTGACCAGAGCCTCTTTTTCTCAAAAAAAAAGAAAATTTGAATCCCCTCTTCCCTAAAATAAAATAAAATAAAATATTGGCTGCTTTAGTCTATAATCCCTATAATAGTCTATCATTCTTACCTATTTTCTTCAGTTAGCAGGCCACAATAAAGGCCGATTTCAACTTATCCAACCCACGTGCTCCTTCTAGATTAGCATTTGGGAAAATAGGTGTGAAAGGAATCATGGGAAATGGCACCCATGAATACCAGGATCATCAGACTCTATTTTTTAATTTGCGTCAAGATTGTCCTTTTTCTTTTGGATTACTCAAATCTCATCTACACTCCCAAACCACCAATAGGAGAAACAAAGAACGAAAGACGAAGCCAGGCTGTAAAGCTAAAGAAGCGCGAACTTCAGATTTGATAATTTATATATTTATATTATATAAAATATTAATAATTTATGTATTTATATTATATTTTATATAAAAAATATATATCATAATTTATATTAATATAAATATATAAAATATATATTTTTTACTTTAATAAATATATTTATAATTATTATTAAAATTTTAAATCATATTATTTTTATATCATATTTAACTTACTACGTTTAATTTCATATCAATAATTAATAATTTTGGCCTCGTCTTAGGTCTACTCTTGCTAGAAGAAAATGACAGGAGGGGTGGCTTCCGCAACAACTCTTACGTAATTAATAATTTTGGCCACGTCTTAGGCCTACTCTTACTAGAAGAAAATGACAGGAGGGGTCGCTTCCGCAACAACGCTTACCTTCTGCCTCTATAAATTCAATTAATTGGATCCTATTCTTTCACCTCTCTTTCCTAGTATCTTCCTTCTCTAAACAAACCTCTCATGCATTTTTCATTCTTTTCTTTGTATCAGGCTCTCCAATATTTTTGATTCTCAATTCTTTCAATTTCTTTATCGCTTGAATGCAAGCGGGAAAGAAATTGAAAGAGTTAAGTATCAAATTAAAAGAAAAAAATATTAAACAATCGAGAGCATTTCTTTTTATCATTTAGTTGAAGTATTTTTATTTGATTAGTATTTTTATTTTTAATCAAAAACTTGATGCAAACACAAATGATTTATCAAAATTATAATAGAATAAAGTCGATTCGCAATTTAATCTATTTAAGCAACTCAAACTATATTTTTATGTTTAAGCTCGATTTATAAAATTAATTAAGTTACTCAAACTCACTTTAATAAATTTTATAAAATTATAATTATTGATATTAAATATTATATTTTTATCATTTATTTATGTATTAAAATAAAATTTTAATAAATTCACAAATCTTTTAAGCAAATATTAATTTTTTAAACATGATTTAATTTATTATTCAAATAATTTGAATTTAAATTCGATTTGATAATAAATAAGCAGAACTCAAAGTTTTGTTACTCAAATACGAATAACTCATTAACTTAACTCGTTTATAAGTCATGATCTGTAAGCCCACAGGATCCGAAGGGAGGATTACTGAAAATCCTGAAAACTATTTGGACAAAACTACAAAATCATCTCTGAAATATGATCTATTTGACTGAATAATCTCCTTAATTAGTCTTCTTTGGTAGCCAATGGCATCTTCATATAGGTTCTTGGTTTAATTTATCTAATTTATATATACCCTTTTTTTGTTTTATTCATGGCCTTATAATTTTTAAATTAATGTTCAAGCTATAAAAAATGGTTTTACTCTCTACACCATTTCTTTTGTTTATTTATTTATTTTTTTGGTTATTATTCTAAAATTTAGGTCTTTTCTTTTCATTTTCAATAAACAACATTTTTAAACTTTTATATTAATTTGTTATTTTTTGAAATTAAAAATTGTTAAATATTCAACAATTAAATGTTTGATATATAACATATTAAAAATTAAAGTTTGCTTTTTTTTTTTCTTAATTGGTCGTTTTAAATCAAATATGAAATGGAAAAAAGATGAAGATTAGAAGGAAGATTTCTTTATGAAAATAATGAATTGTTGAACAAACAAAAAATATATATCTGAGGTAAAGTTGGAAAAATAAAAATTAATCCTCCCTAATTAAACAAGAATATATTGAAACCAATCAAGTAGCCTTCCTAGATGTATACTCTCATCTTGACTTCATTTCTTTTGATCTTTTAGCACAGTGGAGAAAAGAAAAAGGCAAAACATTCATGTATAGAAGTCATGGAACCAACCTTTTTTTTAATCTATATTTTGGTAAAGTATTTTTACAACTTCAATGATGATGAATTTCATGAGTTGGGCACTTCCTATCAACATTCATGATAAGGTCAAAGTTTATCTTTGTTAGCTCATTATACTTATTTGGAAATTGAATTTAATGGCTATTAACGATTGTTGTAAGTTGCAATCTTAATGCTTTTGTCCAATTATCATTGCATAAAACACACAATATGGCATTGGAGTGTCCTATAATTCGTTTGTCACCATGTGATATTTGGCAATAATTTCTTATCTTTTATGATATTCTTGCCACAAAAGCCTCTTGCTAATAAACTATTAACACATAAATATTATCGATCAATTCAAATTGCATTGTTTTGTTGTTATTGTTGTTTTCATTCTTAAAATTTATTATTATTTATTTATGTGAATGTGGATAGTACCCTAATTGGTCACTACTTTCAAAGCACAAAATCTACGGATGACAGAAACATGTATTTTTTATTAAAAAAATTGAAATTTAATTCGCATACAATTATTCTTAATAATAATATTTAATAAATTTAAAATTTAACGTTAGTAAATATTTTTTATATAAAAAAAGCCCAACGATGAGAATAAAACTTTGGGATTGTTTCCTATGGACTCAAATTCTAATGTGGGTTTCATGTGTTTAATATTCTCTTGCTTTGCTCGATGCATGTGCCTATATTTATGATTTGTAAGTGAAATCGTTAATGTGATAAACTGTTGCTACATTTATGTTTGAATTCTTTAATTTTGATTCTTGATTTTAGCGAAGCGTTATTACCTTTTTAAATTTGCGATTTAAAAAGAAAATAATGAAAGAGAATGGCAAAACAAAAAAAAAAAAAAGTTGAACTTAGGCCCTATTCAGACGTTGTTCTAGCTAATCAAATATAATTATTCGTTGGCTTTGCCAATTGTGATAGTTCAGATAGTTTGACAGCAGTTTTTAGAGGTCGTGGGTTCGAAACGATTTAGATGTCTGATATGATTTTGTGTAAGCTGACAAATCTATTTCCTGACGAAGTAGCTCCACGTTGGATGGAACTCGAGATTCTGTTCCTCTCTCCCCCTAAAAGTGGTACCAAGAGAAATTGGGCCCCATCAACAACTGTTTCAACTGTCAAGGCACGTATTAATATCTATAGTCCCCTTTTGCCTTTTCAACGATTATGTTCTAGCTCTCTCTCTCCTTCCCTTTTTTTTTTTTTTTTTAATTTTTTTTATTGCAATTGTGTTCAATCTTCTTCAGGTTTAATGGTCAGAATTCTCATTTCTCTTTCTATAACTGATTATTCAATTCAGGTTTGAATAGGAATTTCCTTTTTCATTTCCAGATTAGCATTTTGGAAAATAGGTGTGAAACGAATCATAGACAATGGTCATAGAAAATGGTCAAAATTGTCCTTTTTCTTTTGGATATACTCAAATCCCATCTACACCCCAAACCACCAAAAGGAAACACAAAGAGAGAAAGACGAAGTGAGGCTGGGAAGTGATAGAGAGCCAAAGTCAAGACCCCAACTCGATAATAGCAAATTTGGCCTCCTCTTTCTAGAAGAAAATGACAGGAGGGATCCTTCTACCTCTATAAATTCAATGGCTCAGCAGAGTTCCTTGTATCCTATTCAGCACGATAATTTATTTCATGTCAAATCGTATAAAAATTGAATTTAAATTTAAATTAAATTTTAAAAATTTATAGTTTTTTATATTATCTAAAAATATTAAATCGAATACGACGTAATCTTAACCATTGTCACTTTTCGTTCGGAAAATTCAAATAGTATGACGGCAGTTTTTAGAGGTGGTGGGTTGGAAACGATTTAGAAGGTGTGCAGACAAATTTATTTCTCTTGCATTTGATGATTAATATTACTATGATTCTCTGACAGATTTTCTTTTTTAACTACGTACTCATTTGGATTTAATGATATTTTTAATAATTGAATTCATCGGACTCTTAATTAAATTTAAATATTAATTTAAATATTATTCATTTAATATAATAATAATTATTTTTTTAAATTTTATCACGGTCAATTTCACCGTCTATGTTAAACTTGTAGTACCGTCCGATGGAACTCGCGATCTTGTCTAGGAACCTGAAAGTGGTCGTAAGAGAAACTGGGCCCATCAACAGCTGTTTCAAGCCTCGTATTAATATCTATAGACCCTTTTTGCCTTCCGAGGATTGTGTTTAGCTCTCTCTTCTTCCTTTCTTTCGATTGCAACTGTCCTTGATCACTGTGTCCGATCTTCTTCAGCTTTAATGGTCAGATTTCTCATTTCTCTTTCTATAACTGATAATTCACTTCAAGTTTGGATAGGTATTTCTTTTTCATTTCTAGTCTATCAAATTTATTAACTAATAAATTCTGTTGAACATGGCGTCTTCAGTGTCTTTTACTACTTTGTACTTAAATTAATTATTGCTGCACGTCCATCAGACTCTCTAGCTTTTTATTTTTTTTTATTTTTTTGCTTTGCTTGCATTTTTAAAAATAGAAATTTGTTCAAACAGGATCCACTGGATGCAGTCGATGCGGCTATCGTACGCGTCGTGGAAGCTGAATTGACAAAGGAAAGAGAGAAGACAAGGCTCATGGAAGAGTCGTTAAGGGCCGATCGAGCTGCACTGGAAGCGAAGGAGAGAGAACGAACAATGCTTGTGAGAGAAAAGGATCGAATGGTTGCAACCAAAGAAGCTGGTGATAAATTGGTTGCTGTTTTCCTCGAAGCAGATGGTAATAACGAGAATTTTGATGAGAAAGCAATGATGGCAGCTATTGTAGCTTTGCTAAGCCATGACGGCGGCGATGACGGGGACGGTGAGTGATAGCTAGAGGCAACAGTGGCGGTTATGGCGGCGTTTTCTGTGCCGACCACCGTGAATAGGCTGATGGCGGACATCCTTTACTTTTCTTTTACAATAAAAGATAAACCTGTGTTTTAATCAGTTTTCGTATTAGACGTTGAAAAATATGTTGTGTGTATTTGTTGGCTGTTTAAAGGCTCTTTTAGACTAAAAACACTGAAAAATAAATGATTCAATAAACCAAATCATTGCTGCCATCTCAGCAGCAAGATCTTCTTGGCCTACATTCTTAGTCAAATAAAAACACCATTACCACGTTGATAACCCTCAATACCAAAAAATTGAGGTAGCAGCCCGATCATTCATTTCATATCTCTTCATCATCTCAATCTTAAAGCCATTTTTATCAGGCTTTTGTCACTTCCTGGATGCACCAAATCATCCACATAAAGTGCAACAATTAAGAACATGTGCCTTACCTTTAATGTTTAACATACAATGTAGGGTCAATTTTTACTTCTCTCAAAGCCTGCGCAATGAAGTGACTATCAATTTGAGTATACCAAGCTCTTAAAGCTTGCTTCAACCCGTCAAGAGCTTTATCCAACTTTATACACTTTCTTCTTCACCTTCAATCACAATTTCTTAAGGTTATTCCACATACTTCTTTCAATCTTCCATTCAAAAAAGCTATATAATTTAACATAAAGTTGATACAGATCCCGTCTTTTTTGGGCTGCTAAGGCAATAAGTGCTCTAACGGCTGATATCCAAGTGAGTTACCAGAGCAAATGTTTTTCATAGTCAATGCCGGGCTGTTGTGAGTAACCCTTTGCAACCAGCCTTGCTTTGTTTCGTTAAATTGGGCCAACCGGATTATGCTTCACCTTTTAAACCATTTCACACCAATCAATCAACTCTAATGTTTTGTTCCTCTCAATCGCACCAATTTCTTCTTACATAGCCTTCCTCCAAGCTTTCCTCCTCCATAGCTTCTTCAAAAATTTCTGGTTCTACAACGCAAAATTAACGTCTGCCATAGACATCACTCAAATTTCCTATTCTTCTTGGAATTGAACTAGGACTTGATGAGCTTGAGCCTGGTAAAAAGATTGAGTTAGGTGTAGATGTTGATGGAGCTTTTGGGACTGAAAATGGGACTGGTTCTTCTTCATTTTCAGCTTCTTGACTTGGATTTTGTTGCATAATAGAGATTGGGAGATATTTTCACCTTCAACCTTACTGTCCTTCCAATTTCATGCACCTTTTGGGCTCTAATTTTCCTTCCAGATGTTGATGGAATTGACTCAATACCCAAGTAATTTTGAATTTCAACATGTCGAAAGATCAGCACTGAAATTTTGGATGATTTTATCATGGGGATACTTAGATCAAAATTTTAATTATAGAAAACGGGACTAGCCAATATTAGACAAACTCATATGAAGGCCCCCCAGTGAACCATACAAATATAAAGCCCATGAAGTTTCTAACTAGACAATTTGGGTCCATGGTAAACCTATAAATATAAGGCCCATGGCGAGCTTTGGCATTTGGGTCCTTGAAGAACATACCATTAAACAAAACACTGCGTGAACAACAGAATTAGTTAACATATTGCATCCATTGTAAAAGACGGGATTCTAACCAGACGTTATGATAGTTTTACGCTAGTTCTGGTTACTGAAATGTTTTTGAAAAATGTTAGCAGAAATAAAAGGTAGTTCCCCTACTCTTGCGTTCCCTGGCTACTCCAACTTACGAGCTTAAGTTAAGACTCGTACCCATCACTATATAGACTCCGGTTTAATTTAAATATTCTACAACACTATACTTTATATAAATACTTAAACTCAAATTGGGGTGGGTGCGCCAAGCCAAAGCAATAGTGCAACGCTTTAGCGACGCTCGAGAACCCCAGCAGCAAGCCACTGTATTGGGCCCTCTACCTCAAAAAATAAATTTAATATCAGGTAGGCCAATGGCCTACATATCAGATATTAAACTGATAAGAACAGATACTACACTTGATCTTAGCCAAAAGGCCGAGAAAGGTATGACCGTACCGCCGCTAAAGGTCGCTTTTTTTATAAGCAGCTTCACGCCCGTTTCTTCACATCTTTAGAATGTGGGATTTAGGCAATGTATTCAGCAACTTCTTTGCAAGTGTCTTCTAAAACCAATTAAGAACACCTTTCATTTACAGGCAATTCTTGTATCTTAAACTCGAAAACAACTTCAAAATTGAATTATAAAACAACCATATAGAGGTGGATATTGACGTTGATTGGAGATAATCTTTCTTCATGGACAAATCTCTGCCATCCATTGCTGGTTTGAGCATTTTGTTCTGGTATAACTTCATGGGTATATGAACAAGAAAAGAAGAGAATGAAAGACAAGAAAACAACTTAATTCTTTGCTTTTAAGATTCTCACTTGTTCCTAACACTTAATTGACACATTAAAGTCGTTATTCACTCAAGGTTGATGCGATCATTGCAAAAATTTACGCAAGCAAATGATGGACTTATCAACTGAACTTCACAGAAAATGCAGGCTATATCATTAGCAAGGCTAAATTTTATAAAAATAGAATTCTAATGATATCTTTCTCTTTTTTTTTTTTAAGCTGAAAGAAGTTTTTCAATTTTATCCGATACATCCTCTTTAGAGATTAATCCAAGCCAGACTTATTTACATCAAACTTAATGAATTCATAAGTAATTATCTTCTCAGAGTCTTCTTGAATATTCAAACATCAGTAACAAAGAGAGGAGCTCACTCTCTTTATTTAAAGTACATTCCACTCCAAAAGATTACATGAAAACTGCTAATCCTGGCTGGAAAAGCCATAGAAATACTTAACCTCAGACAACAACTAAGAATACTCTTAAACTTTGAGTCTAATGATTGAATAGGGCTCTATATGCCCCATAGAGACCAAATTCACACAAACTTCTATCAATTTCTGATGAATCTTTCCCATCGATCCACCACAAACATTCATCCCCAAAACTTTTGGTAGAAGAAAAAACAGAAAAAGAAACACAATAACAGCAGCATGCAGGGCATTTTTAAAAGGACCCCATGATGACAACTTTGACCTTCTATGACAATCCTATAGCACTATAATAATAATAATATTTAAATATCAGATACATCTAACTAGAAAAAAAAAATACTTGGTTAATAGCCTTAGGGATTTGGACTTGTTGGGTTGACTCAAATTTTTAATGTGGTTTTGGTTAGTTTTGGGTTGATCAGATGAAACAATTAGAATTGTCCTCCTGTGTAAGTTTGGCCAAATGCCCAATTGGGAGGAGCCACATTGTTGGAGATGACAGAGAGGCCATCACTTGTTGTGACCTTAAAAGAGAGAGCTTGACCATCCATGTAAGAGTTGCTCTGCCAGTTTTGGCCCCAATTGCGAGACATCACTTGCCAACCAGTCGTAGACCCTTTGATGGAGACAGACACCACATCTCCAGCACCTCCAACATTGGTTATCAGCACAAGGTTGAAGTAAGAATGGCCATTTATAGTAAACCTGATCCCACCAGATTTCCTACAAGCAACCCTGCAATTGAAACGATACCATTTAGAATGTCCTCCGCCAACAAAACCATACCATAAATGAATTGAATTATTGACCATTTTGACTTAGACTAGTTAATTATATACCAAAACTGACATGACTGTTAATTCAAACATGATTTTCAAACTTGACAAGCTCGAGGTTGTAGGCTATGTTAGACTGAAAAGTAAATTGGTTTTTGTGTTTCTTACCTTCTGTATTGAACAGGCACTATTCCTGCTTTATAAAGAGCAATATGTTGGAAAACAGGTCGGGAGAGATCAAAGTGCCTTAAAGGAGGGTTACACCACCCTCCTGCATTATTTGGGAGAGCATTGTTTGGAGGGCAGAAGTTTGTTGCTGTGACTATGATGGATCCTGGGAGACACCGCCTATTGTCATCGACACATTTGATCTCAAAGCATGCTCCACAAGTCAGTCCTTGGTTGAATAGAGTAGTACTCAATGCAGCAGTGCTTGTGCCGTAACCTTGGCTGTAAAGATTTCCATAGCCACATGCTCCCCCTACAACATATGAAAAAAAAGCTGAGAAAGGAATCTTGTAGTGGGACAGATAATAATGAATACTTTTGCATGGTTTAGTTCTCACCCATTGTACCAGAAGCATCACCTCCCCCATAGAAGGTAGCGTGAGCATCAGACCATCCACCTTCATATCCATGAATTGTCTTCATCATGGCAAGAGAAGATACAAGAAAAATTCCAAGAAAATCCATTTTCTGCAAAACCAATTAACATTCAAATATCAACATTTTTTAGATGAACTGACATAGAAGGTCTCTGATAAGTTTGGGAATGAAAATTGGTGCAATATATATAAGAGAAATGATGTTGTTGCTCTTACAAATGCTACAGTTAACTTTGAAAATCAACTTCACTTGGTGAAGAGAGTCAAAGAGAAATAAGGTAAGGAAGAGCTGATGAGATGAAGTTCTATTTATAGATGTGCGTGTCTAAGGACAGACTGATGGGGGGGGGGGGGTAGGGGTTATCAGAGGAAGGTGATGTGTAGATGCTACCAAGGTTTAAGGGTTTTTTTTTTTCATATAAAAAGGAATAATTGGCACCCTTATCTTTTGAAAGACATTTGAAATGATGTCAGAGTTACTTTTGCACGCTTCATATGGAAAAGAAGAAAATAATGTATTATTAACCTGTAAAAAAAGTCCTCTAATGGCTTGGACCCTTGTTCTTGTTGACTTTCCTCTTGGACTTGAACCTGAGAAGAGTAAGGGAAATGATTTTCTGCATCGGTTGATGTCCTCAACATTTTATAAAACTTACTTTTACAATATTTTATGCACATTACTGGCTTACAATTAAAGATTCTGAGGAATCCTTGCGGGACGTGAATATTGTGGCAAACGATTAAAGTAATTTGAAAGAAATTTATCAAAGAAGTGATTGGGTACCCATGACAGTAGGAAGGATAAAAAGGATGCAAGATGATCCTGCCGATAAAATGATTTGAATCTCTAATTTTATGCTGATAAGAGAAGGTGCTGTCATGATTTTACAAGGGAACCAAAAAAATAGAGTTGTCATATAAGGTACTTTTTGCAACAGTGGTCTGATATTGTTCCAGCTTCTTGTGCAGCATGCAGTTGAATTTTCTATGGTTTGGATATCACTTCACCAATCACAATTGGAAGAATAGAAGAGAAAAATCATGGTGCATTTCATCAGCAAATTTGAATGACATCTATGTCTATACTTTGGAGGAGCCATGACACTCATTTGGATGCAAAGTTGGATTGGAAGACATCATACACACAAGGTCAATACTTCTAATTTTACCCGGATCAGCATTGGTTGGAACTTGTAACTGCGAAACAGAAAAACGGTTTCTATTACTTTAAAGGATTGTCATCTGTATCTTCTCATGCTCCTGGCAAATAATGGTAGCTTTTCCAAGTCCATTTGAAGTATCTGTCAAAAAAAGTCTACACCAAGTGCTTATACAGATGCAGAGGGGTATACCTTTTAATGCTGTCTAAGTTTATCAGTCATGTCAATCTTGGATTAATGTTTAAATATGTTTAACTTGACTTAAAATTGTCAGTAATCTTCAATTCCCCTTCAAGTCTTACATGAAGATTCAATGAAACAAAATTCCTATGAAAAAATCTCATCAGCTTTTCATTATCAGAGCAGGAAGAATGCCATGTGAAACTATATGCTCAAGCTAGTCTCCCTACACTGCATCGAATATAGGCTATGATATGTCACAATCAACGTGTTGTGCATGTGGCAAACCGTCCATCTCAGTGACTGAAGATAATGGAATGTATATCTTTTCTTCATTTCCTTTCTCATTACACTTTCATTTCATTCTCTTCACTTTTATCCATCTTAGCTGTATCTGGCCATGCTGCAATTCCCTTTGAAGAATATGAAGCTTATTATAATCTTTACAGCTTGAAAGAACTGATATTTAAAATTGAACCTGTTTTTGTTGGGCATTACAGGCATGTGTCTGTTAATATTCCAAAACAAAGCTGCATTTTTCCTACAAATTTCCGTTGCCGTTTGAATGGTAGGATATCATGCAAAAAATCTCATTTGGATTTCTTGGAGTATTAATCATTGAATACATTAAATAAAGGCAATCAGCCAATCACTCGTGCAGCTGTTCATGATTGATGAATACTTTTTGTTTATCAAATGGAAGATTAATGCAAATAAAGCGAAACAGTTAGATGCCTTTTGTTTTCTATTTTACCGTTGTCCTCCCAACAGCAACTAGCCAACTGTCTTCTGCCTAGATAAGCTTGGGAATTTAAAATCACATATTCTAAAAGAAATTCAAATTCTTCAAACCTAAAGCTTTACTCGGTTAATTCATGCAGTCACCCTTAAGAGATGACATCTGATAAGTCCAAAGTTCAAATCTTAGCGTATACAAACTTTTCCCCTTATGTTAGCAATAGACCACTTATGGTTAAAAAAAATTTTACAAATTGCTTAAAGTAGATTCCATTTGGATGAGTTCTACCTAATTAAAAGATTACTATCCATCACTCCTCAGAATACAAAGTTAAAAAAATCTATTCTCAATTTTGATTCTATTGAAGAAAACAAGCAATAAGATTGCAAATTTTTTATTCAATTCTTTCTTAGACATCACTGATCAAATTCCAGAGTATTGAAGAACATTATTTTTATTTAAGAGAACTAACAACCAGATCATGGTGGTTTGAATAGGCCACAAAGCAAAGGAGAAAGAAACCCCACAACAGATATTAAGTCCCAGGGAATAATAACAACAAAGCAAAGCAGGCCATGGCATACATCTAAGTTAGTTGAAAGTTTATACACCAAATTGCACATGGGATCACATGGCCAAGTTGTTCAAGCAATAGAATAAGATGAAAAGAAAAGCCCCACGATCTAGTTGACTACCCTTTGCACATACAATTCACACGAAAACAAGATGGTAACTTTTGTTGTGGAAACCACTGATCGATATGATGGAGAGTGCACTAGAATTTCCTGTTCACTTGTGTTTGTATAGGCCACTTCAAGTTTGCGGCCGGCGCGCACAATATTTTTTAACAGAGAACAACACGTGAGTGCATAATTCAAACAGCAATCTCTCAATACTGGCATGCACCGAAAACTAACATCCAGTGGAGCCATGATATTTAGGTTTTATACTTTTTATTGTCTTCAATAAGCAATGGATCATGAACTAAAGGGTATTCTAGTTTCAAGTATAGAGCAGCTAAATGTCTTGTGCTTGTCATTCAACTATTGCTTTAGATAAGTATGGCCCCAGAAAACAGACTCTATTAAGCATATAATTGTAGAGTAAGAAAGCTATAGCTAACCTTGTCAATTACTTACAATGACCTTATTGCCTAGAAACCAAATTACAAATGTTGCACTGTCAAAGCAAACACCCCCATTCCTATATCTGCAGTGCAGACACAAAAATGGAACACTTTCCAATTTAAAGAATAAACCTGTAATTTTCAAGGTCAGCACTACAATTTGTTAATTCATCCCCGCAAAACTTCCTGTATGTTGCACTGTAAAACCTGAGTAGACTTGCTTGCAACTCATGTTGTGATTAAGCAATAAGACAATCAAGATGTTCTTACTACTATATTGAGAAAACATAACCAGAGTAAAAAAGACAACATATTGGAAGGAGACAGAGAGTTCACAAAATGACTAAATCTATCTGTTTGCAAGTGAATTACATATCTGGAACTACTGAATAGACACTCGGCGCTGAACCGCTTCCCTGCTAGAAGAAGATGATCCAATCCTCTGGAATGCCTTTGTGCTGAATATATCTTTGCATACTTTTCCTTTAAACGTGAAATGCTTCTTAAGATGATTTTTTATTGAAGAACCATGGTCATTCCATCGTGGGGCCAGTTGAGGCCAGTTTCTCCTTAATTTTTCCTTGATATGATTTGAGACTTCATCATCTTCTTGGTCTTCAGAAATCATGGCACCCCTGCTCGTTCGCAAAGATCTTAAAGCAACTTGCAAAGGTTCTGAAACTGATGCAGATTCTTCCAGTGCTCCAATTGTTTTGAGGCACAAAGGGCAGGGAGGATCATGAATCTGGGACTTGGGGGTAACTTGCTCCAAGCATTCAGCGTGGAATATGTGGCTGCAGGGTAGAACACCAGCAATTGGCATGTCACCACCTCTAATTATTCGATGTGAACTCCATGGGGACTTTTGCCACAAAAGTTTTCCACAAACTCCACACTTGTGGTCAACCACAGGACCAATAGGGGACCTCAGGCTCTCTACATCCACATGCTCCACCATGTCAAACTTTTCTCCATCTAACGCCAGATCATAACTACTAGCACTGCTCCACCTAAAACCTTCTCTTCTAGAGCTAGCACTGGGGTCTGGAGATGCTTCAGACCTTTGAAGTTCAGAAAGGGTTTTGTGAAACTTGCGCTCAACACTAGAACCGGTTTCATGCCAGTGAAATGGTGATAAGCGATCCTCACTAGTTGTCAACTTGCCAATACTGTTAATATCAGCATCACCAAAGCCTTCAGAATCTGAGACAGGGTTGCGAAACACTAGTGGGTAAACAGCTTTTGTCATGTAAGAACGTCGACCAGAGAAGTTGCGGTTGGGAAAAGAGAAGGGCAGCTTGCTAGCAGATTCGCACCGACTAGACTCAGAGAGTGAGGAAGGGGATCCAAAGCTGGGAGATGCTGCAGTTGCTTTAACAACATATCCCCTCTGCAAGAACAACACAAATATGGGGAAAATGCTTAATGACAAACTTTTTCTTATTTAACTGATACAAAAACCAGCAAGTTGAAACACAAATCACCTCAGTGAAGCGAGGGAACCAAGAGGTCTGGGGCATAGGTCCTGATAATTAAAATTAGGTTAAGAAAGAAAACAAATGATGGTGCAAATAATACAAAATCTATACAAACGAAACTGCTAATAATAGTTAAATCTGAATAAAGAAAATACAATTACTCCATCCTAAATCATATATAATGAACTTCATTTTGGTTGATTGGTATAAAATTCAGGGAAAGGACCATCTAAAGAGGGAGAGAAAGAGAACTAGTGAATTTGATTAAGGATATAAGGAAAAAAAGGTAGTGTGACATCCCTCACTCCCTACATTTTGGTGAACTACAGTTTCATCTTCACACTACAAGTCACTGCTCTGAAGACACTCATCACTTTTGCAATTTCACAAAATGTTTCAAGTTTTAGCAGCATGATCAACATATTATAATCACCATTTTACAGTTGTGTTCTAAGAGGAACAACTATTCAGTTCAATTTGTAAAAGCATTTAATTAATAAGCACAACAGCATGATCCAAGCTCTGAGAGCATCCAATTTATGCAACCATCCCAAAGGGCTGAATCAGGCTAGCCTCAACTAACAACACTAAAGTAACGCTCTTGAAGGGTGAATCAGCATATCCCAAAAACCAATAAATAAATAGATATATGCATTTCACTGCTTAACCCCAGCCACCATCACTGCCACACAGAAGCTGGGAAATAAAACACATTATAGTGAAGTACCAGCCAGGATTTGGTCAACTGAGGTGATTCTGCCAGCAAAAGTGGCAGCTTGTGCTTATTTAATTTTTGTCCTACGAAACTCAGAAGCAAAAGAAACTCATCATGAAGGAGCATTGGCTACACCATAGGTGGCAGACAAGCTCAATGCCCAAAAAGCAATCACTAATAGGGGACCTCTCAAATTGTTTAATGAAATCTGTAATGCTGGCTATCTCAAATCTCAAGGCTGAACCAGAGGATTAGCATTTTAAATATATCCTTGGTAGGAATGATGAAATTATTTTCTCACAGAAGCAGAAAATATTTGAAGAGACATTATATGCCAGTCCAAAAGACCTTTTAGACATTCTTTCAATTTGGATAGATAGTTATAATTCTAACAAGGTATTAATTCAGATGAATAAGAATACATCATCACCATGAGAAATCAACCTAGTATTCCATCTATGCTCTAATTTTGGAGCACAGATCATTTTCCAATTTTGTGCTCATACATTCTTGAACAACTCACTAAATGACAAGACACATGCTATTAAGAAAATCATAAAATTAAAAACGGTACAATAAGGCAAAACATATGAAATAGAAATCATGAATGCTAAGCCAGAGAAGATAAGGGTAATCATGATAAATAATAAGTAATGAACAGTTAAAGGATTCACTGCATTATGGCTTGCAGAAACTAAAGACTACCAAGAATCAATGATATCATGGCACTCAGCTATTCTGACATTCTACAATTATAGGTATCAGAACTTTCATGCGCCCTTCATTTCAGAGAAGATAATTACTATGATTATATAAAAATTAGTTGACTAAAAGAAAGTACCATGATATTTGGCATTCTGTTAAGCTGGGAAAAGATAAAAGAAAATGAAATAAAACATGCAACAACTAATTGACCACAATTAGGACAGAATATGGCATATGACATATGATTATATGCTTCAATCTGCAAGAAAAGTAACAATTAAATTTAAGCAGGACATGCCATTTGATTACAGAAGAAATATCAACTTAAGATTACCTCCAACATTAGGGGCAGGGAGCTCCTCTGGATTGAACATTTGAATGGGTGAAGTCCATCGTGGTGCCTGAGCACTATCAGATGGGCTACCAGAATAAGAGAGTGAACCATCAGATACAGAATGGTGATGATTGATGTAACCTTCACTGCCCACCCTGCTTCTGCTACCCTTGCTATTTGAGGATAGAGATGAACCATGTAAACCTGCACCATGCGACCCATGTGGCAAACCATCTGAATGTAACCTACAGTCCCATATCCTCAATGGAGGAGGTGAAAAGCTAGAGTTTGTCCTCCAATGTGGTTCATCATGATCCATGGAACAGTCCCTTCTGCTTGTTGATGATTTTGTTCCATGTGGCCCAGCGGCCACACAACAAAGCGCACCCGTATTAGCTATTTTCTATTGACACAATAAGGTTGTCCAGTAATCTATTGTAAGATTTTCATGAAAGTATGGAACTCTACATGCTTATAAAAAATCAAGCATGGTCAAATGTCAACAAAATTAAACCACAGAAATTATTGAAGCACACGGCAATCCACTCAAGACTTGAACCAAAGCAGAAGGCATATCAGATTCCCATCTTTGGAGGAAAAACAATGGAACACAGAAGTGCACTTAAGCAACTTTCCACTCCAATATGCCACTTCAACTAGGATTCACCAAAAATCTGCTATTCCAGACTGCATTCATTCATTTGAGCAATGTAATGAGTAAAACAGTATAACATTATGGTCTATCCAGAGAGATAAAAGAACCTAATTGCTATAGATGTCAAAAATAAAATAGAAAAATAATGAAAATGAAGAGGACAAAACAATAGTATAATAGCCAACAACTCTTATTTTAGGATAACATAGGCAGAGAATGTAATATTAATTGTATTATTTTAAAAGTGGATATCCCTCACACGTTTACCACGTAATATCATACATCTAACACGCACACACTCACACTCACACTCACACTCACACTCACACTCAACAGGAATGACAATCAGTAAGCTCTACAATAGAAGAATACAATGTGAATCATGGAAAGAAGTGCAAAGAAAATGCTGTTAATTACAAGCTTCACAGTTCACACTTTATCTTTTGGCATTTAATCTAAATGCAGCCACGTTTCCACAGTCCTAAACTGGTGAAGTCAAGATTATTCCCAAAAAGCAATAATAGAGTGCGAAAATCATAAAACAAAGCAGGCAAGTGTTCATTGTTAGCAACAAAACCTGAAAGAATTTCAGAAGAAGACTCTTAAAAACATGAAGTAGTATAATTATTTTTTTAACACTTTTAAACCTAAGATTATGCTCACAATAATACACAAATCTGACCTGATAATCAATCATTGCAAAAAGAATAAAAAATCTCTACTTCTAACTCCTAAAACGTCATAAAAAGAAATGATAACCCCCAATTCAAATACATCAATGGTCCCTAAAAAAATTGGAACTTTTCATCCTAAAATAGAAATTACCCAGAAAAGAAAAATACTTTAAAACCTCAAAAAAGAAAAGAAAAACCTAAACCAAAAAGAAAGAAAGTTTCTGCTTTTATGATTGCATCAGCTAAAAACACAAACCATAGTCCAATAAAATAAATAAATAAATAAATACCCACCAAAAAAAATCAAGAGAGAAAAAGAGGGTACCTTAAAAGTACCAAATATGAACTAGGTTATGAAGAAATCTGGGTTTTCAAAGTGAAGGAAAGCAGAAGAAACCCCTCTTTTGAGCTTCTTGTAAACTGTTTCTGTTTTTGTTTTTCTTTTTTGAAAAAACAAAAGGAAAAAGAAAATGACGCAAATAGAAAGCGAATGAAGAAAAAGCTAAAGGTGAAGGAGGATGATGTGAAGTGAAAGTGACAGAGGCATATTATTATTATTATTATTGTTATTACTCCAACAAAAACGTTATATTACGATCATGTCGTAAATTTTTTTTGTAAGGATTTAAACAAGTGATAGAGTGGAATAATTGTACCTTGCATGATTTCACAGCTGACAAAGTTTTTGTCCTATAGTGACAGCTTTACTTTGAATGTAAATTTATAAAGTTTAAATTTTTAAAAAAATGAAAAAAAAAATCTAGTGCAAAGGAAGATTTTGAAACCCCATTAAAATTTTTAAAAAAATTATTTTTATATTAAATAATATAAATTATATTAAAATAATCAAAGAAATTTTATAAATTTAGGTTTAATCTCTGAGAATTTCAATTAAAAAATAATGCAGTAGAAAAATCAACAGCAACCTGACCAACTAAATAAAGTGTGGGTTAGCGACTATTTTTTTATAGATTAATATGTTATTGATTGGCATTTAAAAGTTGTAAATTTAAAAAATTTTATGGGTGAAATGTTTTTTTTAGTTAAGTAAATAATAAGGTAAAAAGATTTTAAACATTGTTATTAAATTTATTTCGGTACTAATTGGTATGCTTTAATTATATTAAAATATAATACACTTAAAAATAATTTTTCATATTAATTTAGTATTAGGTAATATATGTTGTTTTTATTAACTTTAACCTATTTCAATAAGTTTTTTGTGAAATAACATATTTCGATCGATATGTGAATGTGAAATATATTTTATAATTTTTAATTTAGTTTTTGTTATTTAATTATTTTTAAACTAATAAAAAAAGTAATTGATAAAATAATCCTTAAAAATTGAGTTATTTTATTTAAAAAATTTTTATACTTTATTTTTAAAATCAAAATCTTTAAATATTTCAATTTTTTTTCAAGAAAACGATTATACTTCCTTTGTAAAGTTTAACATTCATATAAAGCCTTGGTTAATTTTTTTCATGTTTTCATTTTTATCTTAATATATATGAAAAATACTTATTTAAATATCATATAATCAGATTAAATGTTTAAAAATATAATAAAAAATTTTATGATATTATTTTTCATGCTTTTAAATTTATTTATTTGATTTTTGAATATATTACATATTTATTTTAGAGATTATTGATAATATTATAATGTACAAGTCATATAAATATATTTGTATTAAATTAAAAATTCGAAATAATATGTTAAAACAACTAATATCGAAATATACTATATTTAAAAAAAGTGAAAAATTATCTGATACGATACAATATTAATATAGATTAGAATTAAAAAAAAATTAAGTGTGGATTAGAAAGGCTGGGACTTGTTATTTTAAATATTGGGCCATGGTATGGTTGTAATCTTTGGGCCATTTTCAAAGAATGTATGATAGCATTAATCAACAATATCTGCAACAACCCCGACAGTTACCATGGCACAATGCGAGTTTCAAGAGATATCTACATGTTGGTTTCTGCTATATATCCAAACCCACATCTGAAGAAAGCTAGCTCTTTCATGCCTTTGTTTTAAGAACATCCTGGCTTGCGCCCTTGATGATTTCAATGTGTCACACAATGTATATATGCTTTTGTTTCTTTTTTGCTTGAAATAAATACTGGCTGGTGAAGAAGGCCATAACTATGAAAGGCTCATCATACATATATTGGTGGCTGTAACTTTCAACTAATTTTAAGCATATTGGCAAATTGGTGGTTTGTGAGAGAAGCACCAAAAATTTGCCATAGCTAGCCTTAAAAGGGCAAGGAAAGGCACCTTCAAATAACATAGAGGCAACCACTAAAACACCAATTATCATATGCTGACTACTGATAATGACCTTTTTCTTCTGTCTTCTACCTAAAAAAGAGAGATGCATGACAGTAATAAGTAAAGATCCTTAATTATGATATTCTCACCTTCTGTTTATGTCCATTAAATTCATGGTTAAACCAATTTCCCATGGTATTGCTGACTTTGTAGACAAAAGCTTAAACATTTCGCATATCATTCAAGATATCTGCTTACTTTTGTGATGTGAGCAGACATTGGAAGGATTCTCTTTTTGGCAAACCAAGGAAAAATGGGCCTACCAGTATTTTTGTATTGAGTGCAAAGCTGGTCATTGATCCTCGGGTCTCTCTCATTTCCCTAGATAATCCATGTTTGCAGGACTCCGCTGCCCCCGCTATCCCATCCTCTGGCATAATTTTCCCTCACCATCACTTTATTTTTATACACCCAAAATGTATCCAACAATTGAAATATTTCAATGCTTCAATTTCACAACTCGTCTGATTATTACTATATGCAATCATCAAGAGGTTATCAGTTATACCAATATTAGATGCATGTATGTATGTATATATGTCTACACAGAATCAAAATAATGGTGATTTAGCCCTATCAGATATCGAAAACTCAGCCGATTTTGAGTCATGTTCTGCCAGTATGGAAAACGATTTCACCTAGAATTTTCGTGATAATCAAAACTACGTGTCTGTCATAGTGAGATATAGGACAGAAGAAACCTTATCACATGTATTTCCACTATTACTGGTACCGAATATTAGGTCTTGAATAGCTGTCCTCATCACCTCGATACTAGATAATATTGTTGCATTTTTATCAAAAATATCAAACCGTATATGTCATCACTCACTGCCCTTTCTCTTTCACTTTTTTTTTTTTTTTTTTATTTCTATATAAGGCTTAGCTTATCAACCTGATCCTGGTCTTTGTTTTCAATCATTGTTTCATTTCTTTTTTGCCCATTCAAGTAACTCAAAACCAATCTTTCTTTCATGGTCGATTCATCCTTTTGCTTGACTCTTCTGATATGTATGTTGTGCCACATTCACAAGCAGCCTAGCGTTTAGGCCTTGAAAGGATGGTGCAGCCAAGGATGACTTGCCGACTGCGATTCCTCCATTTTTGCCGTTCTGTTTTCATATTCAAAAAATGGATATGTATGAAAGTCGGCAAGTTGTCTTTGACTACATTTTCCTTTCTGCTCCTTATGCTAGGCTTTTGGTGATAATATCTCAAGAAATTATTGGTAGTTAGTGTTACAAAAGTATCGATCCCTACGAAATCTAATGCTTTATCAATTCTCATTATGTTAAAAATTGCAAAACTAAAATAGATTCATTAGCAATATAATACTATTTTTAATTATATAGCTGTTTATTTATTAATTTGTCTCAATATATAGTAGAGATATTATACCATTAACATTATTATTATTATTTTTGGGTGGGTAAACATTAAAATATTATTCTATTTAAAGAAATCACAAATAAAATATTGCAAGTGCTATAATTTAAATCCTAAATTTATTGAATATTATATTTTTAAATGATGGTATAAATCAATTAAATTAATTCTTATGTTCATTTTATTTTATTCTTTATATTATCTATAGGCGGCTAAGCTTAGTTTTCTATTTTTATCAGGGCCAAAGCACAACAAGCCTACCCATCATCAAAGCAGGCTTAAGTTCATGTAAGAAGGCCCGTTGGATCTATTCAAATTCAAAGCCCGCCAAAGGTGGCTCCTCACATGAAATCGTGAATGGAAGGATCCCAGCCCAGAAATCCAATAGCCCAGAAAAGAACAGCCATAAAAGGCCTAAGCCCAATGGACCAGACCGGGGTTACAATAGAGCATGCTGTGTTTATTTATGTCGGTAAATTAGACTAATCCTGAATTCATTAATTTTATTGTATGTTTTACCTAGAGTTTGGTGTTAAAAAACCCAATCTCTATATAGGATCCCAAATTCCCAATCAAAGCCCAGATGATTACATGATAAAATAAACAAAGAGATAAAAAAAAAAAGGGTGACATGGTTGACCTAGTTGTGTCAAATAAAACCCAACTCAATTGGCAGTGAGCGAGGTTTCTTGTTTGGTAAAGAAATACATGCTTCAAGCAACCAATATATCTATGACTAAATTAAAGTCTTGCTTGGCTAATTATCTTGCATATTTTCACAAGACAATCCTCTTTAACTTTGACTCTCAATTGCTAGATCTCAAAAATTAAATTAGAACAAAAAAAGCCTGTAGTACCCCATCAGGGTTGCTTCCTTCCAAGCTAAGAATGCATCCAGACAAGACTTCAATGGATACGCCGGGAACACATGGGAACATAAGAGAAGTGGGTTGAAAATGACCCAGAAAAAATTTGTGAAACATTGCACGAAATAAGTTACTTTCAAACTTGTCAATCATGGCAGAACATGGAAACAGGTTGGACACCTGGGAGGAGAATAAGATAGCTTTGAGATTTTGAAAATCTTAAAAATTTTGTTTGTCGATTCGATTGTTGTGATTGGAATACCCCACATTTTTCACTAATAAATCAAAGTTTTTTATCGTTTTCTTTTTTTCCTGTAAAAGCAAGGTAGGCCACGTTGATGCATCTCAATACACACGCAACCCAATTCAAACTTATTCTGAAGTAAAAAAAAAAAAGAGTTGAATCTAACACTTGATAAAAAAAAACTCCAGCCCACGCAAATGAGCTAATCTATGTTGCATTTTAAACAAGTAATTTGTAAACGTCGAGTATAGAAAACCAATGACCTGGACCTGTTTTGGTCACTTATGGCCTTGCCATAAATTATACAAAACAGCGGTTGATGATGTCCACTGTCCAGGCAGAAATTCCAAACAGTTTTTTAAATTTCCATGATTTCTAGACCATCCAAAACTACTAGATATTAACAGAGGATAGATTGAAGATGACATTTGTTTCTTGTACCATATCTGTCAATGAAATGAAAGCAGAGTGCATGCAGTGCCCTATTCTAAGTTTGAGTTGTCCTTTTCAAGGATGCCCACATCAACAAACTTAGATATCATCATAAAAGTGCGCACGCACGCGCACACACACAAGTTAATAATATGTGCTTGACAGTTTCTATAACCATATATATATAGAACAATATGATTTTTACATTCACAAAGGGGTTATCCCTTAAACATAAAAATGACAACTCAACATATACATAGCTAGTTGCTCTTCAAACACCCTTGATCAAGCAGGCTAGGATCCAAAAAGAAATAAGACCAAAAAGCCTGCAACTCCCCGGGGAGACAATATGCTGTATGGCTTCACCTGCTCTACTATGTTGTTCATTTTTAACATGAATAATTAGTACATGAAAGATGACCACGGAAATAGGACTGTAGTAACTGTACATTGGCAGTAGGGAGGAGAATGAGGTTGGCAAAAAACTAACCAATCATGTCCCAGCACCAACCAAGGTTATCTCCTCACAATCTTTAGGCTTTAAGGACGTTGCAGGGTGAGGAAGAGGGAGTTTTGTCCCTGAATCAGAAGGAACTTCTTTTGATACTAGAATCTCTTCCCGTGCAGGAACATGTGCAGGTTGAACAGGTTTTGGTGTGTAGTTAAAGGAAAGGACTTTGTTCGCAGCTAATGCCAAAAGTTCCTTCTCCTCGAGCCCTTTTGCTGGCCCAAGGCTGCATGGGTCTGGTTTGTACTTGGCCAATGCATCTTTGAATTTTTTGATCTGTTGAATCATCATTGTAAATAGAACATATATCATAAACATGGTGAACAATCGACAAAAAACACACATTATGAACTAATCAAGTCATTTCAATTGAGATACAAAACCAGTTTGCATCAGATGAGCAGCAATCTGTCAACAATTGAAAATTAAGTGAAAGCAACAACAAAAACTGAGCCTCAAAAATATTACAAAGCCAATTGATGACTAATATGCACCGTGCAATTTTCATAAAAATGACTCTGATAGGAGAAACAAAACACCATCTAGCTCTTACGTCTTGAAGAATGTACATTAATTGAAAATCAATTGATCCAAAGGGAATTATGCATTTTTCCTTCTGGAAATCAAGTCCCATATATTCAAGTGCACGCATCATACATAAAAATATGACCATAAAATGACAAAACAGACTTGTTTTCATTCCGATTGCTAAACATATCTGATAAATTTTGCACCAGAAAGAAGGGATACAAGACTAACCGTGGCATTGGTGCAGCTAAAGCTGCAAAGACGCCCCTGAGCTCCACTATAGAACCGGAAGAAAGGCAGCACATGGACATTAAGGCTATAGCACATGGATTTATGCTCCTCGTAATTCACCTGAAGAAACTGCAGATCTGGATTCATCTCTGCCAATTGGCAAATCTGCCAAATCCCAACATCCAAATTCACAATTAATCCAAATACGAAGAATACAAAAATATGGAGATACAGAACTATACAAAACAATGTCTATATTATCATACCTTGGGATGAAGAGCCTTGCAGCCACCACAACCAGGGGAGAAGAAATCTACTACAACAAGTTTATCCCCAGCATTCAAAAGAGAGTCTACCAGGTCTTGTGCAGATGTAACTTCTTTCATATTTGGTTGCAGCCCCTTCTCCCACCACTTTTGACTTCGACCAATAAGGCCAGTTTGCATCTGATTTCATTAAACAAGACCAGAAAAAAAAAAAAAAAACAGAAACCAATTAGTATTTCTTTATTGATCTTTGCAACAGATCAAATTATGGGGAAAAAAGAGTTAATCATTAACCACATATACTATTTACTTTTTTTTTTAAATGTAAAATTTTACTGCTTAATCTTTATGTTACTATCATTTAATTAAGAACAAAAATAAAAATTTTTATAAATATAAAAGGTAATTTCTAATTAAAGATTTTATATTTGGCATGTGATCATAAAGCTAAGAACAAACTGTAGAAAGCTAATAATAGAAAATTGTAAATTATCAAGAACTTCAAAATTTTAAAAATCATAAAATAAATAAAGTCACAATATTCTCTTAAAAAAAAAAACCCACACTTTTCCACTAAAAAAAAGGAAAAAGGAAAGATCCAGAAATTAAAAAAAAAAAAGAAATAAAGTTAATTAAATCAACCTGTGCTTTAATGGGAACTTGACAAAAGCTTCTCTTATTCACACTTTGCTTCTCCAAAAAAACCATTCTTTGCCCATTAAAATCACTCCTCAAAGCCTGAGATATCACGTTCAAAGAAGGAAAGCTATTCTTTTTTGAACAAAACCCAGAAATTTTCTTAGAAAACAAAGAAGTTCCACCTTCTTGATTCCTCTTCTGACTATAGTCACAAGTCGTAAACAGATTTCCCTTCCCCAAAACCTCAGCCATAGCTATTTTTTTCTAAATTTTTTCCCTTTTTTTCTCAAAACAAAAGCCAAAACCCAGATTGAAAATTGAACCCTTCGCTTTATTCCCAACGAAAATACAAAAAATAAAAGTTTTTGCCCTCTTTAAAGCAAAAGCTGTTTCCTTCTACTTCCTTTTCCTTGTTGGCTTTACCTGTGTTGTTGGCTATTTTAAGGTCTAAGGATTGACATCAACCGTTGATCTATTTTGTCTTTATGTGAATCTAACGGTTGATGATGTTTTGTGATGGACAATTTTTGATGTGAAAACGTATTGGATAAGGTTTTCTGTTTGATTTCTTTATCAACGTTGGCCGGTTTTGCGGTGGTCTGGAGATGCACGTGATAAGTGAAGTTTCGAAACGTGGCACTGACCTAAGATTTTGCAAAAATAAATGGAAGAGTTTCAGATATGCTTTGCAATTTGGTCGGTTCTTTGCCACCTCATTACTTTTGTGGCCAGCTTGGAATTTTCTTTTCTTTCTCTGTTGAGCTTTTTCTTTTTTTTTTTTTTCAAAAATCATCCTTATATTTTTTATTTTTATATCATCTATATTAAGAAAAAAGAATGATATGAAACAGTAATTTCATTTTAAATTATGTTAAGTAATTAATTTTTTTAATAATATAATGATATTACATAATTTAATTGAAATAAATATATATATTAACATAAAATAATTATTTTATACAAAATTTTTATATTATTAACATATAGCTTGAAAATTATCATATCCTTAATATTCATAAACATAAGAAATATTTTTGATAATTTTGTTTTTATCAAGATGAAAGATAATAGTTTATTTTTTGTATTTTATATTTAAAATTATCACAATTTAAATTTTAATCACTGAAATTAAAAATTTTGACACTATACCAAAATTAGATCACATGCGTTCATGTTATACTAACAAGTCCGAGAAGGAGAACCAAAAAGGAAACAAAGGAATACAGGTAATACTCTATATCAAAATGGGAAAATTAGGATTGAGCAATAAGCCATCAAAACTCAAAACAATCAGGAGTATCAATCCTAACAAAGAGATGCTTTGCAGCCTTCAACTTGATCAGCCACCAGCATACTTGTACCCAGCATTAACATGGACCAAGGATAATTGTAAGGGCGACGCAACGGCCACACAGACATCAGGGCTTGTTGTGATGAAGGATCACTGCACTCTACACCTTTAAACTCTCTAGCAGCTAGTAGCATGACCCTGTTCTGCTCTGCTCTCCCATCACCACTTAAGATAAGAATCATGACTTGGGGCAGACCCTCAAGGCAGCCGAGTTATTGTTTCCGTTAACATCTCCGCTCACTGCAGCCTTGGGATTGCAAAATTATGGTGATAGGCCACCTTGCTTAATAACATAAGGAGGCATAAGCACCAGTAGTAACCATGCAGTAGATATAAGGAGCTTGCTCCTGTTGCCACATATCAATTTAATTTGTTTTTGCAGCAGCAGGATTCCGACCAAACTGGATGATTATTGGTTTTCCTTTGAACACATATCCATTTACGAGGTTCTGCAAGGAAGGAATACAATTGAACCCCAAATGAGAAAATCATCATCAGACCCATCACAAGATAAGAGATAACACAGAAAAGATAGACCTAAGTGATAAAGCAGTATTCCCTGGGAGTACTTATTCCAGAGAGACATTAAGAACTAAGTGTGAATTACTTGTGTACTAAGAATTACCTGCCCAGGAACACGGTTTAAAGAATGGATTGCTGGCTAATAGAAATAAAAACTTATTATCAAAGGTTGTGTGGTAATAAAAATACTAGCAGAAGACTATCAAGAACATAATTTTGAACTTCAAAAGGTTGTCTTTGGCTAACAACATAGTATTCGGAAAAGGTTTTATTTTTCAGATACATAAGAGCTGAATGTTGTTTTACTAGCTTTTTCACATGGAAAACTAGGAAAGGGAACTGGGTTAGCAATTTTGGCAAAACACCATAATGCCAAGATGGTAACAACTCAGGAGGAGAGCTAAGTCATTTCTCATTTTTGTTATTGTTAGTGTGCCCGAGTAAGCAAGTTATTTCTAGCTGGTTTGGCTAGCAAGGACAACCGATACTCACTGCTTTAAAAAGTACTCCTAAAATGCACCTCTTGGTTGATTTAAACAATCGTTAGAGACTAGTGCAGGTCCTGAGGCAACTTTTACAAGATATAGGAAATGCATAAACTTACTTGCGCCAGGAAAAAGAAACCTGAGAGAAACATACCAAAGCACGATGGGCAAATTCAACTGATGGAAATGTCACAAAAGCTTGACCCCTCATCCTTCCCTCCTGAAATCAAAAGATTACTTTTAGCTTCACAAATAGGTAACTATAGCACTTTGATCTGCATGTAAGAGGAATATTCTGAACAACAAGACTCAATTTTCCCATAATTACAAAAACATATACTTCTGATGTTCACATTCCAATAATTCAACTTTTGGTTTAATGAAACATTTAACATTCAGACATTTTGGGTTTGGTACCGATTTACGAAGTAAAGTGTCAGTATTTTTGAACAAAAATTTTAAGCGACAAAGTTGGGGATGGAACTTAAATAAACCGGTGTCAAGAAGTCAGAAATAATGCTACAGAGAGCTAATCCAGAGTAATGTAACCTGCATTAGCTTCACATTAAGACCGAATTTAGCTGCATCAACACTTCCAAATAATGATCCTACATCAGAGAAAGACTTGATCAGCCAAAATCATTTTGCTAATAGGAACAAGGAACAAAAGAAAGAAGCATTTAAATTCCAAGGACTTAAAAAAGAGCAGTTTTTTTTCCACATGGTTATAATGTTATCTATGATCTTCTTTCCCATTTTATTACGGGCATTGAACTGCTACGAGGTTACCATTAATGTAAGGAAAGGCATTTAGTCTCACCAAAGATGAAGTAGAAATCTTCAGGAACAACATCCTTTGCCAAGTTCTTTATATACAACACAGAAGCAGGATTCCCAGCTGTATAATTCTGCAGAATCCAAAGAGTCACATTCAGTTTATGTTCTGTCAGATGCACATTGCCAGAATTAATTGGTACAAGTTAGCTGTTACCCCAAAAGCAAGTAAAGGATTAAATTAACGTGGTTATAAAACAGCCAGGAAAAAGAAAGCCTTGATACTTTCATAGATGATTAAATGGATACTAGGAAAATTGCATATTTGATTTAATCTACTATCTAAAAGCATCTAGCAAGATAAGGTCTGATACCTTAAACATTGGGAGTGATAAGATTTCTTCTGGTGGCAACTTTCCCTTTTCCAACTCATCTGCAGTAGCAAACCTTTTGGCATCTGAATCCTCCTCATTAGGTTCCTCTAAAATCTCTCTGTACTCATCATCTTCATCTTTCTGTTCATTAGGAATGTGTTTGGGAGCAATTTTGATCTGTTAAAACACCAAGAAGATCATTAAAATTCAGACAGAGTAAAGCTCATCCTAAAACACGCCCCTTAGATAATAGTATGACCTGTAATACAGGGTTCTTCTTTTTTATCAATGGGATTTCTTTCGGGATCAAGGTGGCAGGTTTCACCCCAACAGCCTCATGAGCCACACTTTTATCAACTGCAGGACCTACAATAGCTTCTCTCCTGGCACGCTTCCGTGTAGATTTTGTCGCACCTTTGTCCTTGATCTCCAACAGACATGTTAGTCAAGGAACAATAAACAGTGCTTTCAATGCACATATATTTCAGTTAATTTAATCCAATATGTGGTTACTGATTCTCAGCATGTTAGCAGGAATATCTTACCTCATCTGAAGACTCCATTTCTGATTCACTAGAAGATGCATCTGCCAAATGAGGCTTTGCAGGTATGGAAGCAGGAGGTGGGGGTGGTGGCTGTGGCGCAGGTACTGAAGGTGGCAGAGGTGGAGTGGGCAAAGCCATACGAAATGGAGCTGGGATATTCATTTTATTCATTAGGTGCAACACCTGAAATTGAGAGACTATTATGGTAAGGGATACATCTCCCAAAATCGTAATTAGATAAAATCAAGTAAAAATTATAATTAGAAAACGTAAAAGAAACATTAATAACTATTGAAGTAGCTCTACAATCAAGGTGATATTAAAGAAAACCTGGGTATAGAAGCGAGGAACAGCAATCAGAGCATTAACTATATTGGTCAAAATATTTCCATCTGGTGGAGGGTAAGCATATCTGCAACACAAAAATGAGTAAGCTTTTGTTCATATTTGACTTGATTATAGTATTTAGAAAGAAAGAAGGACACTCCAACAGGTGCTATTAAATAATTATTGCATAAAGCCTTATGCACTGGTCGGGAAAACCAAACTTTAAAGCCAATAGCTCTTTATACTATGAGTGCTTAATGCTTGACACTATATTTGCAACTTCACAATTCAAGGGTCTTCTAATAAAGAGAAATGAGAAACTTGAAAATAAGAGGAAAGACTCACTCAAGGTGAGGAGGATATGGATAGTCTACACCAAGTCTAGAAGCAATTGGTTCACTAGCAGGTATTGATCCTGATCTTGAACCTTGATTCAGGTCTCTAGTCAAGTTAGCATCTTTCACCAAAGATGCAGATTGTGTAAAATCCTTTCCTAGCTGAACTCCAGTTTGCTGAGGTTTATTATCCTCTCTTGGCTTACTAGCTCTGTCCACTGATAAGACTTTACCAAGAAACCTCAGGCTGAGCAACCAGAGAAATTGGATTGTTAGATAACTATTGTTGATATTGTATCGACATCAACAAGTTAAAACATATTTAATAAACAAAACACAGAATGTAACAAATAATACATAGTTACTATCTAATTCCAGTGAGAAATATCTCATATATTTGATCAAACCAAGAGCCCAACACGGGAGACCAAAGAACGGGCATAAGCTAGAAATTTACCCATTTAACTGACGCTGCGCTTGATAAGCCAATGCTTCATTTTTAAAATCCACAAATGCACTGTTTCTCATCCTACATAAAAGAAAAATAAAGAAAATATGACTATGTATGATAAAGACAAAGATGTATTGAAAATTGAAGAACCACCAAAGGTTTGAAATTTGTTTACATTCCACTAGAGCAAGGACGAACAGAGGATGCACCATAGTGAGAGAAAAGGCGCAAAAGGGTGTCATGAGGAATGGCCTCAGGAAGATGCCGTATCAAAAGGGTCGATAGAGAATCCAATTCTAGAGGGTTTGACGTTGCTCCTTCAACAACTTGATAACCAAACTGCTGCATTTGAGGATTGCTAAAAGGCTGTGAGGACGGAATAGCAGCCATTAAAGCATCCAAAGTAATTTATTTCCTTTCCTATAACAATAAATAAGCCAAAGATTACACCTTCAAAAAAAAAAAAAAAGTCTTTGCAATGTAGATGAATAGAAGGAATATCAACATACATATTTTCTGGAACTGAATTTGATTTGCTTGTTATTTTTTTGATGTGGATATTATCAAAATTAGACAAAAGAATCAGCTTTACAAGATTAAAAACAAAAAGATCTTGAAAAATGAAAAATAACCAATATGGCAACATTAAACTATACAAAACTAACAAGAATTAATGTTCTTACATTCAAAATTTAGCAAAAAAAAAAGGAAACGTCATAAACCCATATATAATTTTGTATTTTTATACAATTTTCATCAAAAGGTAAAGCGAAACCCCACCTTTGGTATTGATTTGCTCTGCCTGCTTGCTGCAGCTACCTTGTTCTTTCCTTGAAGAAATTGTGTTCAGTACTCGCTGAAACGAAAATTTCGATGGGTTTGGGGGGGCTGGGGATTTCATAATGGGCTTATGAGGCCGAAAAGCTTGGCCTTGTTAGTCATTCCAGGGCCTTGTTTAGTAACTGAACAATGATCTTGGTCTTGTTTATTAACTTCTGCTTTCCTTATTAAGTCCATCCAATATCCTAATTTAAAGAATTTTATTTTCATTCTGGCATAATTTTAAAATTGAATTCGAAATTTAATTAAATTGATTTATATAATCATATTTACAAAATAACATTTAATAGATATAAAATTCGAATTCTACAATTATAATTTTTTTTCTATCTTCAGCAATTTCTTTTATACAAAAAATAAGTTTTGATTTCGTAGACTCAATTTCGTGAAATTTATCATAAAATTTTGGCTTGTGTTAACTATATTTCCTCAACTTATTTGAGAACTTTTAACCTTATATTTTTAGAAAAAAATGAGAGAGTGAATGACGAAAGTAAAAGCATTATTTTCTATACATTAAAAAAAAAATACTATGTTTTATATATGTCAATCATGTACAATGTAAAATGGGTACCATAAGAGCTTATAGCAAAATTGTTAATAAAATTATTCGTCTCTTTTTTTTTTTAGTGATGTTATTTTTATCCAATTTCTTATTTTCAAAAACATCAAAACACTATGGGAAAGAATGTAGTTAAGTTCATATTTCAAAATCATTTTATTGATTAAAATTTAAAACTTAATTCAATTGATTCATATCATAATTCGAGATATACTTTTGATGTTAAATTTTTTTTTAATAAATTGATGTAGATTTAATTATGTAATAAATTTGACATAATGCCCACATCTCCTTTGCTTATGCAAAATTTATTTGTAGTCATTTGTTTGATGTAAGAGATTGACTGAACTCCATTCACATACTAATTTTTCGGAGAAATATATTATTAATTTTGGACATTGTTCAAGAAAAAAGTGTATGAAATTGCATCAATATCTTATACTTTTATGAGGTGAATTAAAAGAAGGGAGACGCATGTGTTCTTGAACAAAAAAAAGTAGTTCTATACCAAGGCTCTCATTGCCATGAATTTTCTTGGGAAAATATTGGTATTTCCTATCAAAGATTTTTTTTTTTAATAGGAAAACTTTATAAGAACTTTGAAGCTAGATACCCTACTTTATTTTTCTTTCTTTCTTTCTAAAAGGAAAAGATAAGGAAAATGAAGATAGAAAAAAAAATGGAAAAGAAAAGAGCGGGTCCCCGCCTTAAATACAATAAGCTACTGATTCTTAGGTTGATTTTTTTGGCAATTGGGATTGATGACTGTCATTGTCGTTATCTTAACTCTATTCATCATTACAGAACCATTTGCTCAATTCCTCAACCAAAGCAACTGTTGGGTGGGGTGAGCTTAAAACACCACCTATCATACCCTACTGCAATTATTTTGCTGATACCTTGGATGTGAAATGGTACATGAATTAAATTTGAAGTTTATCATGTGATCAATTTATATAATCATTTTAAAAATATATTATTTAATAAATTTAAATATTAATTTTTTTTATCACAATGTTACGATTTTTTTATGCGAAAAGAATAGAATATGAACTTATTTTTAAGAAAATTTGACCAAAATTAATAAATGCATGCATACGTATGTAATCAAGAATTCATAACTTAGTTTTGTATCTCAATCAATCATTTTAAAGATCATATCGAATATTATGATTGATTGATTATAATTCTCGATACATTCAATGTGTTTACACGTAAAATTCATAATCATATAATTAAAATACATTATGTTTAAAATCAAACATACATTTCAAGCGATTCTTCTCACACTTCCTTTTATGATGTAACAATTTATTTAAAAAAAAAGAAAAGAAAGAAAGAAGCCCTTCTAGTCAAGGTGTCAACCAATGCCTGAATTTCATAAGCCAAAGTTTTTTCTTGGGCATCAACAGAGTGTAAAAAAGAATGACTTCATAAAAATTATACTAAGTAATTATATCTTCCATAGTTTTTATGAATTTAGTAAATCAAATTTCCTTTCTCTGTCACTTAGCTTCTTCATGTATGCTACTTTCCTTTACAATTAATATGTTTGTTAATTTGATGGTTTTTTTTTTTTATTTGAAGCTGTCCTATTATGAACTGTTCTCATTAAAATTAAAAATCTAATTCCAACCAAACAAAAGAGAAAAAAAGTCAATTATCTTGACTTTTTATGTAGCCTTAATTAGTGATTTACTTAAATTTGGGATTAAAAATCTTATCTTTTCAAGCTGGCATGTGAGTTAATAAATGAATAATGTCTTAAGCCTCATTGCTTACTTACTGTTGTATATTATGTTATATATAAATCTTTTTCCTATCTGTCCCCATGGCTGCCAACTGTCTCAAACCATGACACAATGGCTAAATTCCAACTTTACAATAGTTTTATGTATGCTATAAACTAATAGCTTTTATTCACTTGATTCTTAAGTATACTTTCATGATTAAACTAAATTATTTGGGAGATTAGGGTTTAAGATTTCCAGTAAAAAACTAAGATACATTTCAAAAAATAAAGTAAAAAATTAGGGTTGAGGTTTTCCAATGATGTTACCCTTTTTCAAGCTTAGATATTTTTTATTTTTAATTTTTATTTGTTTACAAAAGATGTCGTAAAATAGGATAAAAGAAGATATTATAGATATTAAGATTTGAAACTCAAATTTATTAAATGCGATTTTTAAATGATGATCACATAAATCAATTAAATTAAAATTTGAATTTGAGATAATTTTATCGATTGCTACTAACCATGACGTGTGAGTAATTTTGAATGATGTAATGTTATTAGTTCGTTCATCATAAATTAAATCTACTAAATGATATGCAATGATAATTTTCATATCAATAATCATATATATATTTTGTATCGATTACTTATTTCGAAGTTAAAAACGGATAATTATGATTTATTTAAGTGTTATAAAGCCATTAAATATGTCTTATTTTAGTATGAATTATCCACATCATCAACCAATAAATAACTTTTCCTTCTTTAACAAAAATTACTATAATTTAAAATTTTAAATAAGAAGATACGTGCACTTTTCTTTAATCAATTTTCAATTGTTAAACTAATAAATAACTTAAACCCTTAAACTTCATTTGATAGATACTTTTACTTTGTATTTGTTATTTTTTTCATTGATTTTCTATTATTTTTATGTTTTGATATTTTTTTAAAATAATTTTCAAAATAATACAATCCAAATTTTCGTAAAATACATGCACCTCTGGCATAATTCTTAAATTACAAGTAATCTCCTCGTAATTAAGGGGGTGAGTGATATCCTACATGCAATCCACATGATAGTGAAAAAGGTAGACCGATATAATTTTGACGTGTAAGCAAAAGAGTTGATGAGGTGTCCAGCGTCACCAATTGGTGGGGCTTCTTTGCTTTGCAGTGTCGTTTTGGCCTCAAAAGTCAACAGTTTTAAGTTACGAGAGTTAGGCTAACACTTTCTCTCAAACCTTCTTTTCTGTGGGGTCCAACACGTCACTCTGACAATTTTTTTTTAATAAAAAAGTTATTTATTTATTTATATTTTATTTTATTTTATTTAAAATTTAAAAACAATAGCAATAATAAAGTTAAAAATATATAAAAAATCTTTGAACTATAATTAAAAAGATATCTACGCTTTTATTTTTTATTGCAATTAATAAATTTCTTTGATATTTGTTTAAATTTAATTAAATTTTTATTTAAATAAAAAATTTAACACCATTAATTTTTTTAATAATTAAGATACACGACATTAATAAAATAAATAAAAATTTATCACATGACATAATTAATATATGTAAAAATAAAATAAAATAAAATAAAATATTTTTATTTTTTGTATTTTCTATGTTCCTCTCTCCCTAAGATCCTTCGAAGGATTTATCATTGTAGCTTGAAAATGGATTAAATTTTGTAACATTACTAGAGTTCAATTAAAGATTCAATTGAATCAAAATAATATGTTAAGAGATTGATTGATTGTAATAAAATATTAAAATTTTAAATAATTATTAAAATATAATTCAATGACATTTTTTAAACCTTTAACCGTTACTACTAATAATAATGATAATAATTTATTAAGTTAGATAAATATTGAATAATGATATTTCACTAATAAATAAATATTAATATTTAAAATAATTATATTAAAATTAATTTTTAAAAAAATTTATTTATTAATAAAATCACATCATTTAATTCATTTTATCAGTGATATGATATTATACAATTACTGACAATATAAACTCTTACTATAAAATTAATGAAATAAGTGACGATGTGGCAAGATTAGGGCCAAGAAAATATGAACACATAGCGTAATCTAACGTGGAAAGTAAGGGTCCAGCTCGGCATCTTCTGTTTGATTTTCTTTTCTAAAGACGTGTCTTCAGTTTCATAAAGTCAAGAGTATGGTATGGAATTTGGTTGGTCCCCACCTAATCTTCTAAAAAACTTAAACATCTCTAGATTTGATGTAATCCAATTAGTAATTAACTAATTATATCCATTAATTATTATATTTATACTAATAAAGTAATACTAGGATGTGATACAATATGCTCGTGTGGATAATTACTTGATTTTATTTTAAATTATCGATAGATATGATATGTACATATAAAATTTATATATATAATTAATATGTATGTCATGTAATTAAATTTAAAATTTAATTTAATTATTTTTTGTAATTATTTATAAAAGTTATATTTAATAAATTTAAATTTTACATCTTAATATTAGTAATTTTTTTTATTTTCAGGTTACGATTTTTTTATATAAAAAATCAAATAATCGAGAGTAATTTTGAATTTGAAATTGTTATTAAGGTTAATCTTAACATTTTTTGCTTTTTTTAAAGGTCAATAAGCTTGCTAGAAGTAGTTGAGATTTTTGCAAAGAAGTTGTGTTTAAATTCTATGCAAACGCCAATTGGAATTAATTTTGTTTTGTTTCCTTTGATGAGAGCCTTTTTTTTTTTTTTTTTCAATTCGTCGGCTTCGGAAAAGTAAACATTTTCAATCTACTTCTAGGCATTGGATAATGTCATAAATTAGGAAGCATACGCTTGGTTTCATCCAAGTCAACTATACTCATTTTTTTCTTTGCCTTACGATCATAGTTCTTAAATTTATTCTTACTTTTTCATTTGAAAGATTTGGATAGTCAAAATTATGAAAACATGTAATGAAATTATAACATTTTAAAGAGAAATCAAATTGGATTTGTTTATGTAAATTTCTTATGTTAATTATGCACAAGAAATTAGCTTAGTTGACAAAGAATTTTTTTTTTGGTCAATTTGAGTTTAGTTCTTATGAGAAACATTCGTAAAATAAAATCATAAACGAACCAAATCAATACGAAGTAGTGATCTTAAAAATCATCCGAAGAGAAGGTCGTCTAGGCAAAATATGGGAATACTTCTAAATATATTACAAAAAAAAAAAAGAGTATGTTATAGAGCTTTATTAGAAGTGAAGCATTAATTTTTCATCGAAAAACAGATATATAAGGTGAAGGATCTGTTTATAAATCTGTCTTTAATTTCTTTGGACACAATAATTATGACTTTACCAACAATGTTTGTTTGGCATTTTCTATACTTGTTTTTGGCTAAGAATTTTCTATATTGGATTCATTGCATGTGGCATTTCATATGAAATATCTTGAAAGAAGCCAAAATAATATAGTCCTTAAGAATGGATCATATGCAACCAAAATAAAGGTATCTACCATATATGAGACAATGAATAAATAATTTGATTATTATATATATATATATGAATTTTGGAATGAAAATATATATAAATATTTCAAAAAATGTAATTTATTTTTAATATTTAATTCGGTTGATTCATATAATTATTTTTAAAAAGTGATATTTAGCGGATTTAAATTTTAAATCTTAACGTTTGCAATCTCTTTTTTTATTCTCAATCCATGACTTGCTTTGTTAAAAATTTAAAAAAAAAAAAAATAAATGCTAGCCAAAATTAAAGGTCCCCTCCTTTCTTTAGGAAGAGAGCTAAATGGAGAATTTTTTTTTTTTTTTAACTCAAGCATATTAAGTCCAACATTCATATGTTTTACGTTCATAAAAACATTGGACGCATTCATATATAGTGCCTTGTGTGTGAATGTATTTGAAAACCTAAATTTATAAAAATATATAATTTGTTATAATAAGAAATTTTATAAACCAATAATGCATAAAAATTATTTGTAAAAATGTAAAATTTTCCATTTTTTTAATCATGATAGCTGTTAGCTAACAAAAAAGGGAAATTTGACCGCACGTAAATTAAAATAAAAAATAGATAGGAAGACTTGAACCTAAGTTTGATAGAGTAATAAACTATTATAGGCCAGCTATATATCGTGTGTATTTGAAATTCCATGAAATTTCATAACCCTTTTTCTTCAGCTTTTGACTTTTGAGTGTCTAAAAACCCCTAGATTCCCTCCAATCAAGTGGTTTCCTTTGAATTTAGCAAAGAAATTATATCACTTTTTATTGTTCAAAGTTTCCAATCCCCCTCGAGTTAATTTGTATATATACTAAGTCATACAAAAATACAATTGTCTACATGTGAAGTATATCCACAGCCAATGCAACAAAACCCAATCTAAATTTACTGCTGCAATGCTTGACAAATTCAGATAAAATCCAAAATTTAACATAGGTTTTATTTGAATGGACGATAAAATTGATTCTAATAAAATTGAAAATAACAATAAAACTATTGCAACTGCAATTGAAGAAAAAAATTAATGTAATTACGATTAAAAAAATTTTAATAAAAAATTTATATTGAATAGATCTTATTGGAGTTGACATTTAAATTCAATTGATAGTACGGTGAGTAGAATCCAAAATTAATCTTAATGAGTTATGCAATCACTTTTTTAAAAAATAATTTTTAATTAAAGTTTAAATCTTATAATCTATTTTCTTATTTTTAAACTGTAATCTTTTTTGTAAAAAAAAAAATTGTATTAGAAAAAATCATGAAAGGCAGCAACAATTTTTTTAAAGAATATTTGTACTGGAAAATTAATCAACTTTTTTTTCAAAGCTTTGAAGTAACACCTGCTATAAAATGGAAAAAAAAGAAGAGGTTTTGTGGGGATTTAGAATTCTACAAATAGACAAACAGGTCATATATTTTAATATGAAAAGATTGCTGGAAAAATGGCTCCCCACTAGCTTAGAAACCTCCATTTTACCATTTTTTGTTTTTGTTTTTGGTTAAAGTTTCGTACTCTTTGTTTTCAAACGAGTAGATATGGCCAAGGAAGCTACATAAATTACAAAAACAAATAAAATATAGTAGAAATTTTAATTGAATTACCCAATCAGGCTTCCTTGGCAAGTGCCTTGCAGTCTACGGATCTTCAATCAACATTAGCTCTTCAACAAGCTCCTCTATTTAAGCTCTCTTTTTCCCTTTGTTCTACTTTCTTAACGGCCTTTCTTTCATTTTTCTTCTGCAAAAGCCTGACATATCATATCCCTCTCCCGTTCCCCTATAACTTTCTCTTCTCGCTTCTCTTGCTTTCCATACCAGTCGTTCCTTTGCATTACTTGTAGCTTTTTGTTTGTGGGTTTGTTTGTTCTGTATAATTCTATAAAGGGTTTTAGAATTTAGAGGAGTTTTTTCCATGGAAGAAGCTATTGTTGTTAACAAAGGAGAAGACCTCATCGATTTACCACCTGGTTTTCGGTTTCATCCTACAGATGAGGAGATCATAACTCATTATCTTACAGAGAAGGTAATGAACATCAACTTCAGTGCAAGTGCTATTGGTGAAGTTGATTTGAACAAGTGTGAACCTTGGGATTTGCCTAGTAAGCCTTTCTAAATTTCAATTAATTTTGTTGAATTTTTTGACCCTTATGTGACCTTTGTTTTTCCTTTGCTTAGATGTTTAGTTTTGTTATTAGTAGTTTGCTACTGCTGTAATTGCCTTGTATTTGCATCTAATCTTTGTTTCCTTTGCTTAATTTTGCAGAGAAAGCTAAGATGGGAGAGAAAGTATGGTACTTCTTTTGCCAGAGAGATAGAAAATATCCAACAGGGATGAGAACAAATCGAGCAACTGAAGCTGGATATTGGAAGGCAACTGGAAAAGATAAAGAGATTTTCAAAGGAAAAAGTTGCCTAGTTGGGATGAAGAAGACCCTTGTTTTCTACAAAGGGAGAGCTCCAAAAGGGGAGAAAACAAATTGGGTCATGCATGAATATAGGCTTGAAGGCAAATTCTCTTATTATAATCTTCCCAAGGGTGCAAAGGTATGTAGCTAAAGCTAGACTTCAAAAGGTTTTTTCTTTTTTTTTGGGTCTCTTTGTTTTTTTTGAGTTATAGAAACTATAGCCTTTTCAATTTAATTGATAAAAAAATTACTAATTGAAAAAAAGCTGTAGCTTTTTCAATTTTATCATCTTTTTACTGTTTTGTTGGTTGAGGGTTTCTTTTCATGGGGTATCTTTCTTTGCTTTTGTGTAAATGAAGAATCTAGACTAAAATGAAGGTCTAATTTAATTTGAGGAATTTTTTTTGCTACAGGATGAATGGGCTGTTTGTAGGGTTTTCCATAAGAATACAGGGATCAAGAAAAGTCCAATTCCTGATCAGCTGTTAAGAATGAATTCTTTTGGGGATGATCTTATGGATTATGCTTCACTGCCTCCTCTCATGGATCCTACTTACTCCAACAAAGCAGGCTCCAGCTTCACGGATGGTGAAAATGAATTCAAGGCCATCAACACAGGTTCAATGTCAAGATCCCCAGATGGAAACTACCTCGGCAGATCCAATAATTTCCCCACAATGAATAATCAGAACTTTCTTCAGGCTCCAATTAACCATTATCAGACAGGAAGCTCTATGTTCAACCCTCAAATTCCAATCCAAAATCCTATCTTCTTCCATCAAGGCACCCCAAGCAATTCCGGCACCGGCTTCGGAAGCAGTGATCAGGCAATTCTAAGAGCATTGGCTGCCAACAGTGCTGACACAATATTTCCAAAATCTGACAGGCAGTGCAAGGTGGAGCAGTTTTCATCAAATCAATCCATGGTCAGTCTCTCACAAGATACCGGCCTTAGCACTGAAATTAACAACAATGAGATTTCATCAGTGGTTTCCAAGAGCATTGAACTTGGAAACAGCAAATCTTATGATGATATGGAAGATTTGGAATGTTTTTGGGACTACTAAAATTGAAGGATATATACTGTTGATCATCAGCAAGTTGGCTTCTTAATTTCGTAGGATATATGATTTGAAACAGTCTCTTCTCCAGCTAGGTAATTATTAGATTGAAAAGTTTCCAGGATTCTGATTAAAAATAGGTATACTTGTATAGATAGATTCACGGTATCCAAATCTTCTCATATTATTACAATTCATAGGATATATGATTTGAATCTGGTTATTGAAATTAAGATTTCACTATTATTTCTTTTTTTTTAACTGAGAGATTTCATGTACATGATTGGTAGTGAATTTTTCTTTTCTTTTCTTTTTTGTTTCTAATTGTTTCCATCTTCTCTATGAATTTTAGCATCAAATTCGTATTGCTTCCATGTTCATATACTCCAATTATATTCCTACTAAACCCAAACATACATTTAAGATTGTTTACTTTATCTTGTTGTTTCCAACAGCCAGTTATGAAAGAACGATCTATGCTGAACCATCCTTTCATCTGATGTAATTAATGCTTCGATTATTAAATTATGAAATTTTATTTATTCAAAAGTCACTTGGCCCTAATTAATTTTATATAATCAGGAATCTTTCTGTTTGTTAATAATTTGCCATCGGATATTAAGTATTTTAGTTGTCTTGAAGTTAATTGTTTATGTTTTCTTCATTAAAACTTACAATAATTAAAATCCATAATTTAATTTAATTGATATTCAAATCTTAACAGTCTTTTTTTTTATCTCTCAATTACAGTCTATTTTATATAAAAAAAATTACAATAATTGTAGAAAGGACTAATTGACGTTGAATTTCTAGAAAGCCATGATTAATTTTTTGAAATGAGTAACCACCTCTTTGAGATTAACTGAACTGAACCAGATCATGAATCACGTGAATTATTCCTCTAACCTCTGCAGACATTGTATCTATCCCTGACAATAAAAATCGCACAATATTTCTTAATACATAAAGCTTTACCCTTAATCTTCTGTCTCAAGTGTCAGAATTAATTATTACATGTGCCTCCCCTAAACCTTGAATATTCCTTTTAACAGCTGTTTCTTTTTTTTTTTTTTTTTTTTTTGAAATTAAATTTTGACTAATAACATATAATTGCAAGCTAATTTTGGATTGACGTGAATAAAATTAGGTAAGTTACAGTTGCTGATATTGATTGTATTTAATTAAATAACGCGTCTTATTCTCTTTGCTAGGCTAAAACTAAACATATGTTACTAGAATGTTTACAACATGTTTAAAATCTGTTCAAGTAATGTTATGATCCGATGATCTCTTTTTTTTTTTTTTTGTGGAAAAGAGGTCAGATATGTAACAGATGATCAGGAAAAAAAAATTATGAGAGAAAGTTGAAGGAAAATAAAAAAAAGAAATTTAAGAGGTGATTGATTGGGAACCGGTTATTGAAAGAGAAGACAGGTTCATGTGATTGTGTGGCTGTGTATTCAACCCTCCACCATTTACTTACTTTCTATTCAAACCAAAGCTTCCGATCCGTTAGTAGATTAATGCTTGCAGGGAAGTTAACCGGCATTTTTGGACTTTTTTAAAAATATATTTTTTAGAGGATGAAGATTAAAATTAAACCTAATAGTTTTAGATCTGACACGAAAAAAATATAAAAATAATAATATTTGTATATAAATTTGTCAAAAACTAAAAAAACATGTTATAATTTACGTATATAATACGATAATTTTTATATTTTATATATATTTAATATAAAATAAATATGATATAAATATATAAATTATTAAATTTATTAAAATAAATAAAAAATTTTAAGCAGCAAGGACAAGAAAAGAGTGTTGAAAACAGAATTTGAACAAAAAAAAGAATATTCTCTAATAAAAAAAACAAAACAGAAAAGAAAAAATCCCTGATTTGTTGCATGAAAACGTGGGGACAGCGGCCAATTGCCAGGCTCCGCCGCGTATTATTTTTTTTCTACATCGTTGTCAGTTTTCTTTTTTTTCTCTATTTTCACCACCCTGGCTGGCTACTGCTCCCTGTCACACCGACTTGGTCTATCTTTTTCTCGTTTTCCCTTTCTAAAATTTCTTGGATTAATTCAATTTTAGATTTTTAATCAATCACCGTATAAGCTGATTGATTGATTGGCTTAATGATTCATCCCACATCAATTAAATAACACTTCGAGTTTGAATGATATCAGCATGCATAATGCAATATTTTTAAAGAAAGCATTATGATTCAGAACTTCACTACTTTTCCAGTTACATGTACACATAATAACAAGTTAAATTTGATTAGATTCACATTATCAAGAATCTGAATTGAAATTTATGAAATAAAAGAGAATTAATTTATTGTGTTGCTAAAACTTTTATTAGACTCGAAGGGTCGAGCCGAGTCTTGGATAAGCTAACCAACCACTTAATTCAATATGATACATAAGCAGATTTACTTAAAACCTAACATATAAATAAATAAATAATGATGCTCTATTGATATGTATATATTTTAATAAATAAATAAACATGGCATACATATTCGCATGAATTAAGTTTTACCACATGTATTAAGATTAGATTTATGTCGGTCTAGCTAGTAATTTTGATGTAACTTTTGCTTCTTGATTATCTTCATTAAGAGATTTAATTTGATACATAATTAGTTTTTTTTTATATATTAATTCAGTATGCTCCTCTTTTCGGAGAGGACCAAATTCAAGTGTATACTATCGTTCAAACATGAAAGAGACTAGTTAGTGAGGCCTAGATGATGGAATCCGATGTCTCATGAAATTTTTTTTTTTTGACTAGACAGGTTACATTTATATCAATTATTAATAATTACATGAAACTCATCGATTTATGAATAAACTGTTATCCATACAAACGTTTTGAGTGTACATATGATTATTGTTTAAATAAATATATCGATATTATCATTGCAAGAATGAGCCATCGAACTATAAAAATTGGGAAATTTCTTATAACATTGACTTCTAAACATTCTTCAACGTAATCTCTTAAGTCATTAGACAAAAGTTTAATATTTTTAGTTAGAATGGGAAATTTCTTAGCTGTTTCCTAAGAAATTATTAATGGTATTTTCAGTGAAAATGAGTTGAACGATGAGCTCAAAAATGAGTTGGGTTTGATCTAGACTTGTAATAAGAAAAACACGGTTAAAGAAAGTTAAAAGTTAATTTTTGAAACGCGTTTTGATACTCAAGTCAATAACATATAGGAAGTTAAGATTTAAGAAAAAAAAATAGATTGCAAAGAAAATTTACAGGTGAAGGGTTTAGAATGAGTATACTTAGACTTTTGTTTCCTTATATAGGAAGCATGGGTGGTGACAAGATTGAATTAGGTGATAGCTAATGGAAATTTCATGTGGAGCTCAAAGAAAATTTATTTAGATAAGATTAATTTAATGATTCTAGGCAAGTTAGAGGCAAATTAGAGAAAAGTTAAATTTTCGTGAGATAACATGTTGATGCGAGGAAGTCCTAGTAGATGAACAATTCTGGGACGAGCTTATGTTGTGGCGAGAAGTTTACACGTTGATCATTTGTAGTAATAATATGACAATTAGACGATTGGTAACTTGATGACCGTAAATGTTGACCTTATTGACTGAACAATTAAGCATAAAAAAAATAAATTTCATTTATCTCATTAATATATATATATATATGTTAAATTTTCTAGAAACAACGTTGTTTGTAATATTAGTTTAAATTGATTTAGATCATACATACATTTGATCTTTCTTTGTGTTTTTTGCTTGTTTCATCTATAACATCGTTCTTGTTTACTATATCTATACATAATATTGAAAGAATCTTCCATATAATTTTCAATCAATTATTTTCTAAAAATATATAAAAGAAAATTTTTCACCAACCAAATCTTTCCACATGTCTTAATCTTTTAACTATGAGTATATTAATTTATAGATAGCTATTTTTTTTTTCTTAATTCATGATAAGGAGAATTGGAATTCACTCTTAAAATGAGAGGGTATAAATTTAGCGGTGAATCTAATCTTCTCAACCGTTGGATTACATATTAATCAATCTTCTTTGTGAAGCTTAACTCAAAGATTGTAGTTTTAATTAAATTAATATTTTTTATAAAAGAGATATCAGAAAAAAATAAAAAAAAACTAATTTTAAGTATTAAGATTTTAATTTCATGCTTACTAAATTCTAATTTTTAATAATAATTGCATAAATCGATTAAAACAAAGTCTATTTTGAGTTCTTAACAAACAATTCAAAAGCTTATAGAACAATGTACTCAATAGCTTATAAGAAAAGCAGTTTCTGTCTTGGAGACCAAGAACTCTCTTTATATATATATGAGTAGGGATTCATTTATATTGATGTCAATATTATATTTTTTTATTAGATCAAAATTAAATTTATAACTAATTTGAATTAAAATAATATTTTTTTATTTTAATAATTTTGATCTAAGAATAAAAAATGTAAAATTTGAACTAATATAATGGATTCCTATTATATATATCTAATCTGCACACCTTAAGAAAAATTCTTCTTTCTTGATTATTATATATATATGTAACGAATTATGGACGGTTCAATTTAACTAATTTAATATGCTAGATAATGGCTCAAAAATTGTACTCCAAATATTTACACTTTGAAACTTAAAAAAAAAAAAAATTTCTCCTTCTTAAGAAGTTTCTTTGAAAAGCATACATGTTTACAAAAATAAAAGAAAAATGTAGTGGTATTTTGAGAAACAAATTGCAAAATATTTAATTTCATTGAAAAAAAAAAGAAAGGAAAAGAGCCCATGGTGAGCACATGAATCATAGCCGTACAGGATAAAAACCTAAAGGACTCGACGTGGCACGAACTACGAAGTTTTCCTGTTACTTGGAAGCGTTTCTCAACGATGAAAACGGAAATTTGCCTTAAAAGCCGTTTTGTCATCAGATGACGTCATCATTTTTTGTCTTAATCTTTACTTAATAAATAAAGTGATTAAAAAAATTGGAATTGAAAATTTAAATTTATTAAATATTATATTTTTAAAAATAATTATATGAATTAATTAAATTTAAATTTAAATTTATTAAATGTATTTCTGTAGCAATTTCTGTTACAATATGGTTTAAACAAAAATCCAATAGATTTTGACATTTAAGATATTCAAAATTTAATTTCTTGCAAGTTTAAAATTAAAACACAAGTAAAACTCTTATTGGCTTAAGTTATATAGATTGACATGATTTAATCAAAGACGTGTGGGACTAACAATGATTATGTTAATATGAAAGGAAGCATATGAACATATGTGGAAATTTGAAAACTACATGTAATTAAAAATTAAAAAACCCAAGTTTCTAGAAACATTTGATAAATAAAATGATGATTTTTTTTTCAGAAAAATAAAATATTTGGTAAATTGAAATATATTTTATTTTTAATATATTTAAAAAAATATACATAATTATGTTAATGTTGTTCGTAAATTTAAAAATTTTATTAACGATGAATGAGATAATTTTTAAAATAAAACTATACGATGGATTTTTGTGAAAAAGATTGGTGGCCTAATTAAAGCTTTGCAAAAGTGTGGTCCTATTTAGTGTCACTATCAAATAATTTAGGCACTCGTGGGTGTCTTCATTGCCCTTTAATTTCGCCAACAAAATGCCTGGCTTTTATGGGATTCTAATGTATTCCCTGTTCCATGTGAGAAAAATGAACTTTTTTTTTTCTTTTTTAATAAATGAGTTGGGGGAATAGAGTTTTAAACTAAAACAATTCCTCCCTAAAAACATAATTATATAGATTGCTCCAACTCTCAATTTAATTCAATATAACTTACTTTAAATGAGCTAAATTTGAATCAAAAAGTAATAAATAAAATTTTAATGGATTACAACTAATTATTTTTAATTAATAAATTTGAATAAAAAATGGCATTTACTAATGAAAGTTATAAAATAAAATCTTTATAAAATGACAAACTATGATCTATATAGAGAATTATACCATAGATATATGTCTATATATGTAATATTTTGAAAGGAAATAAACTCAAATGTGAGCAATTTTATGATACTTTAATCTCGTGTTGAAATATTTTAAAATTTTATTATAATATATAAATAAATATTTATAAGATATCATTTATAAAAAAAATTTATAAAAATTTTAAATCAAAATAGATAATATTTCATAAATTAAACATGGGTCTTCACAATTTTTTTTGGCATAGTTTTGATGAGTAAAAATAATAAATATAAGAAAGTTTTTCTCATGATTGTGTTCTCGATTTCAAATTTAAAAGATTGGAAAAAAATAAATTTTTTATAAATTTATTAAATTTAATTTAAATAAATTTATTTAAATTTAACAAAAAGTGTATCATACGAAGTTTAAAAATCTTTACCATTAAAAAAATAGTAATTATAATAATGAGCTATGCAGTATAAAAAAAAGTTTTGAAAAGACGTAGAAATCAAACGAATTTAAGACATTTTGGGCCGAAAATGATATATAAAATGTTAAAAAACAATATGAATGATGTGAACACCTCTTTATCATTATGGAATATTATTACAAATAGGAAAAAAAAAAAACCTCAAATTGATAAACTGTTTGATTAAAGAGATTATCCGCGTTGAATTATACCGTTTGATTAAAGAGACTATCCGCGTTGAAGTGATAGTTAGCAATATTTTCAAAGGAGAAATGAAACGAACAAACCAACCAAAAAGAAAACCATAAATGTTTTCACTAATCTTGGCCCATTTCTTTTAAGTTTAACTAGAGTTGAGTTAAGTTTCATTTGATTGGTGTTTTTATTTTTCGTATTTATCTTTATTTTTACTTTTTATTTATTTAAAAAATAAAAAATAAAAAGTATGGACAAAACGAAACGTCAGACGTTTAATTTGTTCATTACCAAATTTTAATTCACACAACATGCATTTTAAGTTGGTATGAGAAAAAAATTAAAAAAAAATTAAAAATCAATTGAAATTGTAATATTTGATTTGGTTCATATTGATTTTATTTTATTTGGTTCAGATTAAATTTAGATATTAAATATATATATTAAATTCAGATAAAATTTCGAATCGAAATATAAAAAATTAAAATAAAAAATGAATATATATTTTTATTAGTTTTTATATATATTTTAAATTTTTATAAAATAAAAATAATTATTTTATAAATAAATCTATTTAAATATATTAAAAAATCTTATTAAAATAATATATAAAAAATTAAAATTTATAAACAGATAAATCAAACTAAACAAAACCGATAGAATTTAATTTGAATTGGATCAGATAATATCAATTCGGATTCGGATTGAATTTTAAAAATTTATAATATTAAAAATTATTCAAAAAACTAAATCGAATCTAATCCGATTTAAACCATTATCATCTTTAAATTTTTAGAGAGAAAAATGATTCTGATAATGACAAATGGATTCTCAATTTTCTTTTACAATTTATTTGTCACATATATGTATTTATAACTGACAGATGGGCATAGAAATATAAGAAAACTGGGAGCAAGAGCAAGAAATTATAATGGTAAATTTACGTGAGACTAAAGGAAGATTAAAGAAATTGAAGTGAGACGTTCATATGATCTGATACCTGATTTGATCAACAGCAATGCTTCACTTCTATCTCTGATGAATAAAGAGATGGGAATAAAGATTGGATGGAAGCTTTTGTACCTTTAGAAAATGGTGAGACAAAGAGCACCTTTTCTTTTCTCCTTTTTGGCCTTAACACTACAAGTATTAATGCCTTCTAGTTTTCTTTTGCTTCCATTTTAACTTTTTAATTTTGTATGAACTTAGGCAGGCCATGACCTTCTTCATCTATTTCGGACGTGAGATTCGTGACATTTTCTCTCTTTCACTTGTGTGTACTATAATTATTTATCTCTTTCCGATGTGAGATTCATGAGAATAGCACTAGTTTTTTTTTTTTTTTTAAATTAATTATTCAATTGTTAAAGAGCTCACAATATGATTTACAGCATAATATTAGTTCTGAAATTGAGTTAAAATGAATTATCTGATCCTTTTAAACTTTTCTTGAAATGGTTGACCTCAAAAACTCAGAACTATAGAGTGTGCAGAATCATACAGGATGATGGCACACAGTAGCAATGGTAAGGTTTAATTCTTCATTTTTATGCCCATTGAAGAAATTTTCATTTGTTAATTCTTCAGATAGATGCAACTCTGGACATAGAGCACAGAGCAATTGAAAGTCTAAAAGCTGCCTTGCTTTGGGTTATAATGCACGTTGCTAATGAATAAGATTTTGTATAGTAAAAGTAGAGCCCTTTTAATTAAATAGGCTGCTTATATGGATCAGATTATGTGATTATGCAATTGATCATATCTTTGAATAGTTCAGGAAAAGCAAAGGTTTTTTTTTTTTTCTTTTTAATAGTTTCTGATTTTGTCCTGATTCAAGGCAGAAGATTTTTGAGCATGATGATTGCTTCAATAGATGGTGGATTCCATGGCAAAAAACCAAAGAAGATGAAATGGTGGCACAGTAGTAAAGACTAATGCGCACAGAAGTGCATATAATAGAGAAACTACAATGTCAAATATGATTAGGCAAATTTTGCAGTCATTCACAGAAACTCTGCAGCAGATATTCTTTATTGCTTTTTTCCACACACTAGTTGTAACGCCACAATCTCATATAGGGCTATTGTGAGCGGGACTCCACACTAGTTTATAACAGGGATGATATAATTTTATCCGAAGTAAACTGGCAGTAGGCCTCTCCACACATATAGATTTTAAGATATGGAATGAAAACACACAAAAAACCTGAATAAGATAAAGCATAGGGATGATCCTTCCAAGCTATTCATCAACAGGCACGACACAGATTCAATCCAGAACTGGCAACACCATATTACAAGGATCCTGCATTCATCACTGGCTATCAGTAGAAACATAAAAGAACCAATGTGATAGAGATTCACAAACTTTTGACTGATGTTCGCATGGTTATGTAGAAGGAAAAGGAGAACAAAAACCTTTTCACGCTTCATGTGCATCTTGTTCTTGTGATCTTATGATTACTTAGAAAAGAGATTTAAGAATGCGGAAATGATTGGATTTTAATTGTCTTGCTTTTTAGTTTTCGAGAAACTTACAATATGGTACAATCTTCCATATCTGGTTATCTCCCTTGTTCCATTGCCAGAGCACAATAGTAGTACCATCATGGACTCCACCAGATTTCTTATCACCATGGAAAGCATCCACATTCAGGCGAATGTTATTAATCATTCTTATAGCTCTATAGCCATCAGTCACTTCCTTGCTCTCACTCCATAGTATTGACCCATCAAGTTGATCTGGCTTGTAAGGTATCAGTTGGACCTGAAGACAAAAACCTTTCTTAGGAAAAATTTAATACAAATTTTTGCCAGTGTCAGAATCAAGAGAGAAGGGGTTGGTGAAGTCATCAGCTCTTGCATCTAGGCTAGCTTCCAAGATGCCTAATCTCAGCACATGGAAAGGGGAAAAAGGCATACTTGCCTTTTTACATGATAAGAGGGCAATTTAGCAGTGACAAAGCTAAATAGCTAGGAAATTATAGAAATTTGTTCTTGACCATGGTAAGCCACTCGAATATTCTGAGCAACAGGTAAGCTAGCCCAATATCATAACAATTGTATTGTGTTACAACAATGACGTGCAACTGAATTGGCAGAATAACAGATAACAACAACCAACAATGGTGACTCAGATAATGCCTATGTTCAACTTTTTCTGTATTTAAACTACTAATTAAGCCTTTCTGCAATAAAAGGAGTTGAAGATGGAACCTTAATGTGTCAAACTTGACAGACTAGAAGCATTGTATAAGGGAACTGATGGTCAAAGACAGGAACGACAAACAATATGAATCACATGAGGAGAGCAATAGGAATTCAATAATATCTTAGACATGTTCAAATAGCACGGATAACATGAGAAACATATAGCGAGAGAGTCCTCAAAATATCAAAGTGTTGTCTATAATAAGAATATCGTTTGCTCCTCGCCTATCAGCAAACATTATCAAGCAAAGAAAATCAAAAGCTTTAAGTATGAAGATCACATGGAACTAAAAAGCCTGGATTATACCATAATCAATAAGTCATATCAATCTTATGCTGTAATTGAAAGTCTGCCAACTGTAAAGTGTTAACCAACTTCAGACACAATCCTACAGGAAAGAGGCTATACAATTCTTAAGTGGCATAAAACAGTGCATTGAATGAAATGCAAACCAGAAACCACTGCTTCCACATAAGATAGAACTAAAAACATCAAAATTGAATGAATACACGAAAAGCAAATGTTGTTTAGCAAATGCTCCTGAAAACAAAACTGAATGAATATATGAAAAGCAGAAGAAGAGCATTGCTAGAGGTCAGGCTGAAATTGGTGACAGTCATCAGTTATGAACCATAAATTCTTACTTCTAAAAATGCAAGAAAAAGAAAAGTAACAGAATCAGATATTCAGTTGGTAAAAGGATGACAAACCCAATGCAAAGCTTCACAAGTCTAATCTAGTATCAACGGAAAGTACAAGTAGAAAAGGAGCATGTGAAATGAGCAGAAATAAAAAAACTTTAAAGCCATGGAGAATTCTTACAGGATGAGAAGCTCCGATGGAATGTTTAATTGCTTGACCAGTGGCTTTATTAACCAGAGCAAAGCTGGGGAAACCCACTTCATCTTTCACTGATGTGCTGAACTTCTCATCTTTGTACCAATGCTAAAACAATAACCAAAAAAAAAAAAAAGTAACATCCAAATCAAAATAAGATCTCATGCTCCGCCTTAATTCTAAGTTTTTACTGTCAAAAGGGGCTTCTTTTGGGTTGTTGATTAATGTGTTTAATAAAGTCAAAAGGCTTAGAACTATCAATCTGGAGGGCAAAACGAGAATAATTACATACTATATGGGAATAATTTCTACAGAAAGATGATAATTTTATAACCAAAAAATTAACTTTAAGAAAATTGTAATTCTGCTGATCTGTTTGCCAGATACGCACCTGGAACTTATCAGAGGGATCAGATGGAGCAAGAATAACCTTACCATCTCTGATGGTAAGATGAAGATTAGGATCAGCTTTGCAATAGACTTTAACAGTGGGTTTCTTGGAGAGTTCAGAAACAGAACCAGAATCGGATTGATGGTGAAGGAATGGCAAGTGGGGAACAAAAGAATGATGGCCTGGTGAGTGTTCAGGCTGGTAGCTACCACCACTGTGGTGGACATGGGTCACATGGCTTGGTGGCGGTGGAAATTCAGTTTCTTGGTGGTGATATGATGGTGGTTGGTATGATGGGGGTGCTGCAAAGCCAGGTTGCTGGAAGTATGATGATGGTGGTTGTGGTGGTGGTGATGGTTCATCAAAGCCAGGTTGTTGGTAGTATGATGGTGGTGGATAGTGCTGAGATGGTGGAGTAAACTCATGGTGGTGATGATGATGATGTGGTGGTGGTCTTTCCTGGTTTTCTTCATCATCATTTCTATGGTGGTCACTGTGAGTGTGGCTGTGACCGAAAGGAAATTCCATTTGTCTGATTGTGGATCTAATTTCTTCAATTGTAGACTTTTGATCTAAACAACAAGCAGCTGCTAATTCCTTCAACACAAATGAGCTGCAGCCTTATACTGAGGAAGGTAAGAATGAAGGGAGACTTGAACCTTGTATTTTTATATTATTTTTTAAATCTCGAATTTATCTCCTTTAATTGTTTTGTATTAACCAGATCTAGTTAAAACTTAAAAGATATCTATCTATACGTTTAAATTTGTTCTTATTTTTCCTTTATGGAGGCTTAAATTACGGTCGGTCCAAAAATCACTTGAATTTTGCAAATAAAAGATACTATTAAACTATCTAATATTTTAAGCACAAGGTAAGAAAGTAGGTTTTATTTATTTATTTATTGATTTGTTTATTTGATATTTATAATAAAATTTTAATATTGATTAATACTTGTTTTTTATTGTAATTGTTTTTATAATTATAAATTCATTAAAAAATTTAAAATTTAATAATTATAACTTTTTTATGTCCCCAAATAAGGGTTCATTTATTAAAAAAATTCATAAAAAATTGATTTTTTAATGACATTAAATAAAACCAGCTCTGACCTGGCTTTATTTAATTTGATTAGATTTTTTAATGACATTAAATAAAGCCAGCTCTGACCTGGCTTTATTTAATTTGATTAGGACAAATTTAGTAGTTATAACTTCCAACAACTATCTACCTAGGACATTTGTCGATGCATTTTTTTTTTTAATTTAATTTTCAAACTTCTAACGTGGGGCGGTGGGAGGCTTCAAATGGTGATATTTGAATCGGATTCCTTTATTTTTTTTCAACTTATTTATTGGCACATGGTAATTGGAGCACAAGGTTTTTATTTTTTATTTTTAGGTTTATTAGTTGACATTAATATTTATATATTATTGATAATATTTTTTAAAATACACAAATAATGTTAAAATATTATTACATTTGTATTTATCATATAAATTTATTAATTCTTAATACAAATCCTAGTAGTGAACAGAACATTTGATAATTTTTAATTGTTCTTTTGGCCATTACCTTGACAAATTGAATCAAATTCCTTTTCATGATTTTGGTCTGGATATCATCTCTTGACATGTCTAACAGTCATTCAAGTTTTTGGGTCAGGCCCAGGCTCCAAAGGTATGAAAAACAAAAGATGGAACATTTTCCATGTTTGATTTTTCAGTGTTAAATACATCCTGTCAGTTTTAAACAGATTTCCTTTTACAAGCCATGGCAGCTACTGCTCTAAACTACTGTTCCTTTTCATGTTCATGTACCATAGACTTTGATGATAAGTTCAGATTCTGCAACAGATAAAATTTTACTAAAACGAGATACTGCCTACAGTAAGTGTTCAAATCTAGCTGGATAAACTATGACTTTCTTAAGTAATTAACCTTTCATTCTTTTTTATTTTTAATGCAATGGAAGCTGTCATACAGGGATAAAAAAAAAAGAAATACATATATTGGGATACGAGAGTAAATATAGGAATCAATTGAGTTAATTTTAAATTTAATTAATCTTTTAGCTTTTAAAAAGGTTTTAAGCTAACTTCTCATGTGGAAATTGCCAAGCAAGATGCTATAACTTAGCTTTAGTTATACAATGCAAATGCTACCTAAAATTCTCCACTTTGACTGTGACTGACACTTTTTATCACTATGATTTTTGTTAAATTTCCTATTTCTAAATCATGGGATCATTAGTCATTTTCATTTTCACCTAAACCATTATGTAGAAAGTAAAAAAAAAATTACCCTTGTTTTTGAATATATAACCAAAGAAGACAGAAAACAAAGTTACCCCCTGTTGGGGTAAAAGTAAGCTCTCACCTGTGAACTTTTTCACTGTAAAACTATAAGTGTCCATTATTTCTGCACACGCTTTTCTTGAGGGCCCCGTGAATAATTCAGACAGTTCTTCAATAACAAGCATAATTGATCTCTTATCTTCTCAAACAAAAACTAATGTGAACAATTCGTGAGATTATGACAAGATTTCTTCTCTGATTACCATAAATTATAGTTAGACACCAATCATATGACATTATATGTCATTTGTTTAATGTCTGCTAATGACAAGATTAGCAAATAGAGAAACAAGATCAGAAGATATTGCTGTAATCTTCAATGCTTGGTATCTACTGCATTGTTTATTATTGCTCCTATATTGCATTTGTATTTTAGTAAAGAAGCTGCTGCATGATTTTTATCTTATCCAACCATTAAATGAATCTGCCAACAGTCACATTTCCCGATAATAAATACTGAATTTTTAATTTTAATAATCAGGATTCAAATAAAAAAAACATGAAATGAATCAAAGAATTTTAAGTCCAAGCAATAACATAAGAACTAGGAATTTTACCTACTTGTTAACTCGGCTGGTCTTTGAGATCTTGTAGATTCATGTCTTTAATTGAAATGTATGATTAATATCTTATTTAATAAAAAATTTGGGTTTAATTATTGGAAATATGGGGTATCAAATATCATTTATAAATAAGTAATAATAATAAAGAAAAGAATAAGTATCCAATTCCCATCCAAAATATGCTTTAACTTTGTTTGTGTTCTCACTGAAAAGTAAATGACAATCTTGATTCCATTTGTCTTTGGCACAACAATTGGTGTGGAAAGTTGGTGATAAACAGTATATACAAAGTGTGAATCTGATCTGGCACTTCCACCACTACATAAATTTTCTACAAAAATCATCTATGATTCCATTTTTAACTTCTTTTACAATGTTTTTCCATAATCTTTTGACTTTGCAATGGCATCAGCTTTTTGATACCATTCTAAGGAGTTCAATCATTCTAACAGGTTGTCTTTTTTCTAACAGAAAAACCAAACACACTTTCACCAAGGCCTAGACAAGCTCAAGCATTGGTTATTCTTCTTATCTTTCCTTCCCATTTCTATTCCAATTTCTTTTTTTTTTTGGAATTTTTCTTTTTATCCTTGGAATTGAAGGTGAGGACTTAAAAGTAAGCTCTGGTTGAAGAATGACTGGCTTAGAAAGTTGTATTGAGTCATATCATATTGGCTAGTGCTGTTACTGTAACTGCAAGAACTGATAAGTTTCTTTGATGGGTGCAAGTAATCCTCATCAATGCTCGAGTATTGGCGCTTGAGTTTGTTTTCCATGTTTGGAACTGAAGAGTTCAACTGGGGAAGCTTTTGCAGTAACATGCTGCTGGAGTTGATGCTATTGGTGTAGTTATTGTCCAATGGCTGTTCAAGGTTCCCAAAGCTGAATGAAGATGATTCATATCCAGTTGTATTGCACTGGTTGTCAGCCAGGAAACTACTCAGCATTGAGTAGTCCACGGCATCTAATAGGTTGGAGAAGGAACAGGATTTCTGGGGCTGGAGGGTATTATTGCCTGGAGGACTTTTCAGGGCTGGTAAAAGGGCATCTTGAATGAACTGTTTCGCTTCCTCTTCCTCTTGATCCTGATCACTTGTTGCTGCTGCTGATGTTGGAGATAAAGCATGGGACTTCTTGTAGATCCGGCAAAGAACCCAATCATCTAACTGAAAAAAAAAAGAAAACAGAGAAATAAACTTATATCAGTCACAAGATTCCTGCAAGAGAATTTCAATTATGTCATTATTCGAAAAACTTCAGTAAATGTGCATGCCATCCAAGGAGTTCTTCAATGATCTCCAGCCTAACTAGCACATATGAGTTTTAAGAACATCGATCCAGAATGAATGTACCGGGACATTTGGACATAAAGAACAAATGGCTCGATTGGAATTGCACCACATCACATGTCATTTAGTTACAAATCCACTATGTAAAATGCAATGATTGATTTTTTTTTAATTTAAAAAACAAGGGAAAAAAATCAATGTCACTATCAAAATTATCATACCATAAGTTGAATTTTCAATATCCTACAAAAATGTCATCTTTTTATATTTTTCATTTCCAAAAAAGTACCTGGCATAACAATTCAATTTTGATGCCAATCAAATGCAGTGTTTAGAGATGAGTCTCACCCTCATGGAGCAATCTTTAGACTTCACTGGTCTATTATTGTAGTTGGAGTTAGGGCTGTCCGCAAGACGATATTCATGCATGATCCAATTAGTCTTTATCCCCTTTGGAGGCCTTCCCTTGTAGAACACCAGAGCTTTCTTGACACCAATATTCTCTTGCACTCCACCTACTCCAGCTTCCATTGAAGATGTCACTATAACCTTATCCGTGCCAGTGGCTTTCCAGTAGCCGGACGCAGCTGCCCTGTTCGGCCTTGCACCGTTAGGGTACTTGCGGTCTCTAGGACTGAAAAAGTACCATTCTTTCTCCCCAAAGGCAGATTTAGCTGATAAAAAACAACACAAAAGGTAACATTTCCACGTTAAAAACAAGCCTTAACATGACAATAACAACACAAAAGACCCTAAGAAACTATGTTATGATTTCCCATGATGATAACATGTAAAGGGTTGTTAAGGAAAACCTCACCTGGTAAGTCCCAGGGATCAAACTTGTAGATATCGACATCGGCAACGATGGAAACAGGGAAGGGTGAGGAACTCACTTTCTTCTTTAGGTAATGAAGGATGAGTTCCTCATCTGTAGGGTGGAACCTAAACCCTGGAGGCAAACTTGACTGTGGATGCTTCATGTTTAACTAAACCAACTAGCACTAAACTTAAGAAAACCTAAGATATTAAAGGAACTTCTAGCTAGCTAGTCAAGAAGATAAAAGAAGATAAGGGTTTTGAAAAGGGAAAAGAAAGGAGCTCTCCAAGTTTGGTTTTGAAAGCAAAACCAACAGAGAGAGAGAGAAGGGGATTGAAATTTTTGAGAGGGGAGGAATGGAAGGTGTTTTATGGATGTAGGATTTTTGTCGTGATGTGGAAAAACAAAGAAAAATGAAAGGAGGGGATTAGGCCAAGGAAGCAAGAAACCAATTACATACAGATATACTTGGTTTGGTTTTAAAAGGGTCCCACACAAAGTGCCAGCTGTGGTGGGGTTTGAAGATTATTTGGATTTCCTTTCAGTTTTGTCTTCACCTTCTCCCACCTATGGCAAAAGATGGCGGCTTATTAAGTGATGAGATTAATATCATGTCTTTAGATGAATCATTGCCACGTGTCTCCCCTTCCAACGTTTTGGCCTCTTACGTGCGAGATCATAGTCTTACATGTTGTTGTTGTTGTGGCAGTCCTAGTCATCACTGCCGTATATATGTGTATCTCTTCACTAGTTCTTTAGTTTTTCAATTTATTTATGGGTTTCCGCATTACCCGTATGCAGGGTAGTGAGGAATGGAGGATGGGGGCCAAGGGGACCTCATGGCCAGCCTTCCAATGGATACAAAAGAAAAGTAAAAACAAAAAGAGGGCAAAGGGTTTGAAGATAAGGCTGTGGGGGAATTGTTCGAGATGATAAAGATTGGTCAAAAATGGGGTTTAGTGGATTACAGTGTTAGATTGATGAGTGAAATGCTGGTTTGTTACTTAGCCGCATGGGCCATTGCCTTACCCCCATTTTTATTGTGAAAATTTTCCATAACAAATTTCAAGAAATTAAAATAACATTTGAACAAATTTCTTTTTATTTTTTTTCACTCAAAACATGTAATTAGAAAATGTATAAAATTATGTACCTAGCAAAAGAAAATCCATTCTTAAAATTATCCCAAAAAAAAAAAGAAAACTCCGCATAAAATCCAATAATACTTATGTAATCTTTGTTTATAAAAAATATAAATGGATGGTAAAGAATGTATAATAGAAAAGCAAAAGGAAACAAAAGAGCATTTCTTAATCAAAACTTTTAATAGAAGTAGATTCAATGATACTTGGACCATTAATTTGAGTGTCTAATACGTTTTAAATGATTGGAAGTGAACTGCGAATAATAGAGCAGCAGTAGGAGTAGTACTTCAATGGTTATCCACATCCCACATGCTAATCTTATGTATACAATAATTTATTAACATCAATATTTGTTGATCTAAGTAATAAAAAAATTAATTTTCTTTAAGTAAAATTTGATTTCGAGTATTGTGACTGAAAGCTTATTTTTTTTATGAAATCTAATTTGATTTAACTCTGAATTAACCGAGATCTAAAGTGATTTTTGAACACTAAAAAATCTCAAATCAAAAAAATAATTTATTAACAAAATTAAAGGTGGCAATTATTTGGATTAGAGTTATTTTGTTTTTTTAATAATATATAGTATTATAAATTTTTAAAATTTAATCTAAATTTGAATTGATTTTTTTTTAAATTGATCTGATTTGAATTGAGTTTTACAAGTTCGATCTTTACATTTAGTTTTTTTATATATTATTTTAATAAGAGTTTTAATATATTTAAATATAAAATAATTATTTTTATTTTATAAAAATTAAAAAATATATAAAAACTAATAAAATATATAATTCGATTTAATTTTTTTGATTTTGCACTTTACACTCCAAAATTTGATTTAAATTTAATATATATATATATATATTTAATATCTAAAATTAATCTGAACTAAAAAATCAATTCATAGTAAATTAAACCGAATACTACAATTTCAAATTAATTTACAATTTTCTATCCATAAACAAAATGGCTTTATGCAAGATTTAATTTAACACTTTTAGACTAAACTAAAGCCCTAACAATAAAATTGCATGCACCTTACCAAACATCCTTCATCGATGGTTTAGAATTTTTTTTTTTTTAATAAAAAGACTGTAATCTTAAGATTAAAAAAATGTAAATATTAAAATTTAAACTTTAAACCAACAAAATATTATTTTTTATGAGTGATTGTATAAATTAATTTAAATAAACTTTAAATTCAAAAATTATATTTAAAATCGTAATAATTTTGTTATAAAATAAAAATGCAACAAGTGCCATATCTTACATTCAAGATTCGTTTTTGCTTTTAAAGATTTTGTTAAATAGTATATCAAATACCAAAAATATTTCATTTTATTTATAAGAAAATCCCAATTTTTTTTTATTGTTGTTAAAGTAAAAAATTGCATTACCAAACTGAGCAATGAGCGAACCGAATTTCACATTACATTTTAGTTTAAACGAGAAAGGATTATTGATCCAAAGAGACATTCAAAGTTTATTCTCTCTCAAGTTTATGGATGATTATTATTTAAAGCCAAAAAAAAAAAAAGAAGCTTAAGTGGTGTTTGGTTTCAAAATATAAAGTTCTTTTTCTGTTTTTATTTTCTTGAAAAATGAAAAATATGAGTGAAAACGTATTTAGTAGTTGAAAATAAAAATAAATTTTTAAGAAAAAGAATGAAAATGGATTAAAATATGAAAACAAAAAAAAATTCAATTGTCAAAACAAGATATCTACATTATTTTTTTCCTCATGTTTTGTAAGTTAACATATTTAAACACTTTTTTATGTCATTAATTAATAAATATTTATTATATTTATAATTAAATACCATCAACAGTAATATTATTGAATATTTTATTTTATTTTCTTATTTTTACATTTTTTTAAAACAATTTTTATTTTTATATATAAAATACAGTTTTTAGAAAACAAAAAAATAAAAAATATTTTTTAAAAACAAACAAAGCCTTGGTAACTCAATTTAGAAGTTGGACCTTGAAATGCTTATTTTAATAATTCCCAAATCTTAATTTGTAGTATACAATTAGTAAAGATTTGCCCCACAAGCCGCCGGTATCCGTTATTTTTAATTTTTAATTATCTAAAAGCTAGCCATTTTGTTTTTTTTTCCTTCTTTGTTCCCCCTTAATTCCATGTCATCATGATCCAAGTCAAGGTTGATTAATTATTTAAGCCTAAATCGCACGCGCTCTCAATCAAAATTAATTAATGATTAATATATACGACGCGTATATACCATCCCTTATCGTAACATCAATAATTGTAAATAATAGTTTAAGAATCATTTAGTAGCGTGATACGAAAAATTTTTACTGTGCCAAAATTTTTTATGATTGAATATTTAAAGATTCAATGATAAAAGGACATTACATCAATAATTTTAAGTAATAGTTAAAGAATCTTTTAGCATATAGACGAGGGAAATTTTACCATGTCACAATTTTTCTTTATAATTAAATTAAATATTTGAGGATTTAGTCATAAAACGATAGCACAACAGGCGGCGGAAATTCCTTCCATCATGCTGTCAAGTAGAGCTCAAATCTACTAAAATTTTCCGGTGAAGTTATCCAATCTTTTTTCTTGTACAATGTGAAAACAAAATCATCATTAAATTTATAATTCATGAAGGAGGAATCCAATAAGTTAAAATTGACAATGACTTGAAAGAAAAATTAGCCAAGTCAATACTTGAATAATCTTCCTACGCACCTGTGATGCAAACGACATGCATTTTGGCGAGTGAGTTTTTGATTTAGTCATAAACCATATACCAAACAAGAATCTCACCCACCCCTTAACTCAAAATTGCCCCTAACCAAAAACAAAATTTAGCAGCGGTCATACCAGGTTATGACTCGTTCATTCAAGACAATGGCGGTAGTATATACAAAACAACTTTTGCGTGAAAAACTTGTATAGGTGGTGTTTTTATCGATCACGTGCTCGAAAGATGTAGGATAGTTTCCTTCATTAGGATCTAATCTCATTTCTTAATCATGCAGACCTATACTAGTTTGCTTCCCCTATGCAAATGGGTTGAAATTTTAATGTCAAAAGGAGCAAACTATACGTATTTTGTGTATGTATGTATGTATTTGCTTCCCCTATGCAAACGGGCTGAAATTTTAATTTCAAAGGGAGCAAAACATAACGTATTTTGTGTATGTATGTATGTATGATTTTGTTTGATTACTCAGGAAGATCTGATGGAAGTTTTTAATAATAGAATTGTGGCTATTAATTATTCCTTAAGAATACCTGACAACCAAAACTAGCACGGCAGGGTGCTAAGAACAATGACAAGAAAAAATAAAATTTTCCTATATCTAGGAAGAAGTCTTCCAGGGTTCCATGATATAATGAGCCAAAAGGTCGTTGATCTTCAATGGGAATGTGCCAAATTTGGAAAAAAAAGGAAGATGACTAAGACAAACATGAGTTGAGAGATGGGGTCTTGGAGCATATGCTAAAGAATAATAAGAACGAGGAAAGAAGTTTATGATTATCCACAAAAATTTCTTGGAGACTCTGATATTTATCCTTCAAAGATGCTTTTGTTTGGCTGATGAGGTTTAGGTTCAGTTTGAATCTTATGTCATCTATGATGAAAAACAAAAGTACCTGGGAATTCAAGCTTTCTTGCCCTCAACCTCCTTCACTTTCCATGTACTAGGTAACTTGTTCAGCTGAAATTCAAATAGCCACATGTCAAAATGTCAATGAATATATTATTAATCATCCCTTGATTAAGTAGCCAATGATTTCTTTAAAGTTCCCATTTTCTCAGCTTGCAGATAGACATCAAAGAAAAAAGTGGAAAACCTTAAGTCAAGCCAATATGAGAAATCAAAGGTGTTACCTCCTTGATTGCTGATAAATATGGTCAAAAGAATCTCTTTACTTAGTTGTGAGAACCTTGACTTTTGATTCACCTGTAGAGAGAAGAAAAAGTTAAGACCAACTAAATGGTGGAAAAGAAGATGAGCAATCACATGGTTATCATAGGCCCAGGGTAGCTTTAATTCCTATCGCAGATGAACGTGTAATCAGTCATTACATCAAGTTGTTAGGGATGTTTGACTGGGAATGGGATAATCATACAAACATACAAGTTAGACCAGTCAAAGGCACGGATGGCATGTAAGAATACGCATCAGCTATCTTAAGTTCCAAGAGTGAAAAAATAGTGAAAATGACCACCCCTGTAGTTTTCCACGTGTAGTTCACCTACTCCATAGGCTAGTAGTTATCTCACGTCAAATGGAAATAAACCAG